GGGAAAGATCAAGTTGATTCATGACCAAAAAATTCAACTGATGTAGAAATACATAGTCCAAAGATATTCCAATACGTGTATGGTATCATGACGTGAGTTCAAAAAGCAGAGAGAGTAGAAATGGAAATGTTTATTTTTAAAAAAATTTACCTGTATACTTTGCTCAAAATTTTTCTTTTTTAGACTCTTAAAAGTGATAATAAATTTATAAGGACATTTTAATTTAATTTTTTCCTTATCGAATTATGCACACCTAAACAGAAAGCCATTCAGAAAATAGATACTAATTACTAAAAAAATTCAATTTGTCAGTATGGTACATAGAATTTTTTAAAATTTTTTTCATTTTTAATTTTTTTTAACATTTGTTCATTTTTGAGAGACAGAGCGTGAGTGGGGGAGGAGCAGAGAAAAAGGGAGACAATCTGAAGCAGGCTCCAGGCTCTGAGCTGTCAGCACAAAGCCTAATGTGGGGCTCGAACCTACGAATCACAAGATCATGACCTGAGTTGGACATTTGACAGACTGAGCCACCTCGATGCCCCTGGACTACTTAAAGGAACAATGTATGTTCCTTTTCATATCTCTGGGCTACTTCTTGACATTAGAGTGCACTGTTTCTTATAATATAGCAATATAGTAATTCTTTTACAACTCATGAGTTGTGGAATTACAGTGAACTATTTTTAAAAATAATTTTTCAAAATGCTGAGTGATCAAATACCAATGATAATATGTAATATATGTAAAATTAAATACCCTTTATTTTTTAAAGATAATTTTCCTGTTTAAAAGTCACTTTATAAACCTGTACTAATAATTTTAGAAATACACTCTTCCTCTGGGAAAAGAGCAGGCAATATGGCTTAATATTTTAAAATAAGTGATACACATGACTACAATCTTGAAGAACCATATTCCCAGTATCTTCACCTCACTATAAGATTATGGAGGATGTGGGCAAGGATGTGTAAGAGAGGACAGAAGTATCAAAAGTTTGAAAAAGATCATGCAAAAAATTTCCAAATATGGTTACCATTTTTCAACAAGGAAAAAAGAAGGTAAAGAAGCATAACTGTTTTTAATATGATTCTGGAAAAAAAGACAATTCAATAGTATGTTTTCTAAAGTTGATAAGTGACTTTCAATAACATATCTGATCAAATTAAAACTTGAAAGTAATAGCTATAAGCTTGACCACTTCCTGCATGGAAATGGTATAATGTATCCATTCTAGCCAGGCTGACAATGAAGAATGAGAACATCAGAAGTAATGACCTGCCATTCACCAAGCTCAGATACATATACAAGAGCTACATTTGTTTTAGGTGAGTGAAATTTTTTAAATGATCCATGACCTTGACTATAAGATTATATTAAATTGCATAAGGCTAAACTTATCTTGAAAGTCTCAGAAAAATTTAAAACCATATTTCAATTTGATAAATTTGAGCATTAACCTATCGTAAAATGTTATATGTGCTAACATTCTTTTACTTATGAGATTAAAAAATTAATGAACAGGATTTTACCTAAAACTTCATAAAGAACATATTCAGAAGAATAACAACTACAATATTACTGCTACTAATACTATTATAAATTTGATTATCATTCTTAACTGGAATTTTAACAACTTTAAAGTTCCTTAACTTACTATTTTTTATAGCTTTTTTTAAAAGAATAGATTTAAGTAACTTAAAATACTGCAATGGAAATAAAATTTCACTTCAAGAAATTGTGAACGTATGTGCCACATTTGATCAATTTTTTTAATAGGAGTAAAATCAAGCCTCCCCTTTTTTTAAAAAAATTAATTTGTATTTATTTTTTTTGATAGAGAGAGCAAGCAGAGGAGGGGCAGAGACAGGGAGACAAAGCATCCAAAGCAGGGTCTGTGCTGACAGCACAGAGCCCAATATGGGGCTCAAACTCACCAACTGTGAGATCATGACCTGAGCTGAAGTTAGGTGCTTAACTGAATGAGCCACCCAGATGCCCCTTGATCAATTTCCTGTATGTAAAAAGTTATAATTATGTGATATGTAACAGCACATTACTATAAAATAAATCCTTAAAGGATAAAGAATAAGTGAGTAGAAAAATACATTATTATCTCATAGAGACACATTATAGCGAAAAGAAAAGAACTTATTTCCAAGTGGAAAATACTTATGCAACACAATTTTTTACCAACTGTATTTACATTTTAATGAACGTGTACACATATGTGCACATACACACATATATTTCATTATACATCAGGCAATCGTTTTTTTTCTAATAAACCAGTGTGTGAAATTAAAGCTTTCTCTATACATGAAGCAGTTTTCCTAGTTCATCTTAAAGCCAGAATGCAGCAATACTGCCATCTAGTGTCCATACCAAGGAGCACTGCCAATACAAATGTCCTATTTATTTAGAAAATTAAGTGTGCACAGGTAAATTGTCATTCCTGTGGGCAAGAGTACAGTTGATGAATGAAAGGAGAAAATACAAAAGGACCCTGGGAGTTAATGGAAAGGGAAAAAAATAAGCATGTGGGACAATTACCCTTTTTCTGAATATGATTTCAGCCACATTTTGTTCTTAAACAGAGTGTGTTACTGGACTTCCCTGGATACTTTATTGACCAAGCTCCTATCATTTTCCCTTAAATCTCTAGTCTAACTGAACTTTACTCGTTGGAAGTAAGATGTCCGCTTTATCTCTTACTTTTTATTTACCATTTTCTCATTTTTGTACAATAAACATGTATCACTTACGTAAACTAGAATTAAAGAAAAAACAATCCTACTCATTCTCCACAGCCCAGCTCCATTTTGTGCCTTCTCTGTGAAGTCGTCTTTCTCTCATCCGGCCCTATCCTCTCTGCTCTAAAATTCTCAGCAGCACTATCAAGCATCCATTTACAGCCTTACAGCATTATTGTTATGTATATGTTTTACCCCTCCCAGAATAAATTATAAGCTCTTTGAAAGGAAAAAAAAAACCATTTATTATCCTTCTTTCCATCCCCAACAAAGGTAATTTTTGGGCATCTATGAAGTGCAATCACATGTGATGCAAATGCCTTCCTTTTCTGTTTAGAACTGTCTACCTCGCTTCTCTAGACTTTGGTACATAAAAATTATTCATTGTGTCATATTTAGAATATCATTTAACCTCGGTAAGGCTGTTTCCTATAATAAAGTTCATAATACCTGCTTTCTGTTTCACAGTTATTGCCAGAGCAAAAACAAAACAAAAATGTCATATAGTGTATGTAGAAAGCTATTAACAAAATGTAAGTCTGATTAAAAAGCAATTTCAGGAGCACCTGGGTGGCTTAGTTGATTAGGGGTCTGACTTTGGCTCAGGGCATGATCTCACGATTTGTATGTTCAAGCCCCATGTTGGGCTCTGTGCTGACAGCTCGGAGCCTGGAGCCTGCTTTATATTCTGTGTCTCCCTCTCTCTCTGCTCCTCCCCTGTTCGTGTTCTATCTCTCAAGAATAAATAAACATTGAAAAAAATTTTTTAAGTAATTTCAGACAAAGCTTTTTAAAAGATATATATGAAAAAAATCCCTGTAATACAGATTAAAACTGAATTAGATTTTTTAAATTAACAGCATTAAGGCTACCAATCTACCTACCTATTACTTACATAACTTAATAACCAACTAGAATACCTTTCTTCAAGAACACAATAAATGTAGATAAGAATTTTCTATAAATTCTGACATATAAAAATTATCTAACTTTAGGGTTGAGAATGTTAAGAACGTATCTGTTTTTGGTTCTCAAAGTCTTCTTTAAATGAAAACTTAAAAGTTACCACCATACAAAAATGTTATTATTTTATATATTTTTCAACCTAAAAACATACACATATAACAAAATGCTCATTGAAAATTCCAGGGTGAGTGCTTTTCATTAATACTAATCACATCATTCATTTGCTTTATCTTCTAGGCATTCACACCATGTTGTAAGAACTGTTCTTATGTACTAATTAAGAAATCTATTGTGACCATATATTTAATAAATAAGTTTTTCTTAAAATGTCAACCAAAATAAAAACCTTAATGACTTTATTTTGTTTTTCTTATTTCATATTTTTAGGCTAGTGCTGCCATCTAGTGAAAATTCTGAGAACGTAACCATTCTGGGAATTTTTTTTTTTAAATCATACTGTGGGGGCACCTGGTTGGCTTGGCTCACGCCACAATCTCATGGTTCATCAGACTGAGCCCCACATCACACTGTGTGCTGAAACACAGAGCCTCCTGGGATTCTCTCTCTTTTCTCTGCCCCTGCCCTGCTCATGCTTGTGCTTGGTCTCTAAATAAATAAATAAATAAACATTTTTTTTAACAAATCATACTGTCAACTAATATCTATATGAGGAGTAAGGATATTATAACTTTCCTACAAATACATTTTTAAAAATTGTCTTCATTAGATTATATTTCTACATTATAATTCTTCAAATTAATCATGAAGCCACTTATTTAATCACCAAGATAATTATAATCATTTAATTTAAAAATTCCTTTATTGAGGGGCATCTGGGTGGCTCAGTCAGTTAAGCATCCAATTCTTGATTTCAACTCAGGTTATGGTCTCATGGTTTATGAGTTTGAGCCACACATCAGGGCTATCAGCACAGAGCCTGCTTGGGATTCTTTTCTCCCTCTCTGCCCCTCTCCTGCTCATTATTTATTAAAAAAAAAATAAACACACACAAAACATCCCTTTATTGAAAAAAGAAAACATCCAAAACATCAAGCTGTTTTTGTCATCAAGTTATACCTATAAATAAAAGAAAATTCAGGGATACCCTCAAAGATGCTATATTTGGAAATTTCAAGTACTTACCAAGAACAAAGTTCATACCAGTTAAAATGGTAACATATGCTGACTAAAAATCTAAATGCCTGGAACTATACCAACTATACTACTGGAAGAATTCCATAAAAATAAAGATGACAGATAATAACCTATTAGTAAGCTTACCTGGGAAAAGATGTTTGCGGTTGGAGCAACTCTGCTGTCCACAATACTATACAATATTGCTAATAACCTGTCGAGTGGAAATGGTTTTGGGCCAAGAAGATGATTGCTTGTCTGTAACAATAAAAGAACACGGATTTTATTTTTACAGAAGAGCATTCACTTTCTGCACTACAAATTCCTTGTAACAATACACATATACTGTTCCCCAAAGACCTTAACAACTCTAACTTCCAGTCTCTACATTAAAATCTTAGCTGATATGATCATGAATTATCTTTCAACTTTTCCTTCAAGGTTTTCTGACTTAGCATAAAACTAACAAGTCATCCATCTCAGTCCTGAACGTCCTGAAGATCATATCTATTTTGCTGCTGTAACTACATGTTCAGGGAGTTATCCAAGTCATTTGTCAAAACAGTGCAAATCTAAAACCAGGGTCTAGGTCCTAAGTCCTAGACAGAACTTACTCCTTACTTCTCACTATTTATTCCTCTGTGTTCCATCACCAGGAAAACACATTTGTTCCATATAAGTAATTCTAAAAAATTAGTTATAGTAAATACTAGCTTAGAAAACTAATAAAATATTTAGTAATTTATAAGCTGTCAGCCTGAAACAACCTAAACTTTAAAACTGAAAAATTGCAACATGTTCATACTTGTGTACAAATTCACATGATACAATACTTGTTATTAAAAAACTTAAGTGCTCAGGGTGACTGGGTGGCTCAGTTGGTTGAGAGTCTGACTCTGGCTCAGGTCATGATCTCACAGTTCACAAGTTTGCCCCGCATTGAGCTCTGCGCTGATAGCTCAGAGCCTGGAGCCTGCTTCAGATTCTGTGTCTCCCTCTCTCTTTGCCCCTCTCCTGCTAATATTCTCTCCCCTCCCCCCCCCACCTCTCTCCTCTTTCTCAAAAATAAATAAACATGAAAAAAGAAAAAAGAAAAGTCAAGTACTCAAGGTCCACTCAGTAAGATAATTTTAGTAGCACTGCTAGAATTTAAGTATCTATATTAAGCAATGAAAAATAAATGGAAATCTTTATTTACATGCAAGAGAATAATTATTTCTTTAAAGAAGAACGACTAAAAAGATGCCTACACAGAGTTTACAAAATGTTTATTCCAGCTGTTTATATCTAAAAAATAGTTCAGAAATCATTTTCCAGGTCTTAAATTTTATATCCTTTCTCATTAAATACTTCAAATACTTAGAAAAGTACGGAGGCCAATATAACAATGTACCCAGCACCAAATTTTATCAAACCCTGACATTATGCAATATGTGCAAAGAAATAAAACATCAGATCACATTACAGATAAACTGAAGCTCCCTTACACCCCTCTCACATCTCATTTTCTCCCTAGAAGGAACCACAATCCAGAATTTGGTGTTTTTGCCACTTTCATTACAGATTTTACACCAGTGTTACATATGTATTCATAAATAATATATAGCACTATCTGCAACATCTAATCTCATATAAATACTATTTTGGACTATCACTCTACCAAGCTGCTTTTCTCCAACATGTTTTTGCAATTTATCCATATTGATATATGTGTCTCTAATTCTATTTTTTAAAAATTGTTTTAATGTTTATTTTTGAGAAAGAGAGAGTGACAGATTGTGAGAGGTGGAGGAGCCGAGAGAGAGGGACACACAGAATCCAAAGGAGACTCCAGGTTCTGAACTGTCAGCACAAAGCCTGACACAGGGCTTGAACTCACGAATTGTGAGATCATGACCTAAGCCAAAGTCAGATGCTCAACCAACTGAGCCACCCACGTGCCCCACTCTAATCCCATTTATAAACTACCCAACAGAATTCCATTTGATGACAAATCACTATCTGCTTCTAAAAATTCATCATTATCCTTCATCACAAATAATAATGTGATGGACAATCTTGTACATTTCCCCTTGTGTACATATGTGAGTCTCCCTAAATGGAATTGCTAAATTAAAGGAAAGGGCACAGACAATGCGGTGTGCTCACCAACGTTTTGTTCTCAGGCACACAGGAAGACTACATTTCTCAGTATCATACTTCCTGCAGTTAGATGAATACGGGTGACTATGATGTAACTGACTTCAGCCTAGCCTTTCAAACCTTTAATCTTCTTTTAGTCCTTTAATCTTCTTACCCTTTGGTGGCAACTTTGGAAATCACCATGTTTTACTTGGCATCACTATAAAAGAAGGCCATCCAACTCATACTCCATTGTGTCAGGAATAACACATAAATCTTTGTCATGTAAAGCCGCTGAGGATTCGGGGGTTTGTTTTTTACTACAGCATAGCCTGGTCTATCCTGACAAATACAAAGTACAGTCACATATGAACTTTAATTATTGCCAACCTACAGAATATGCCGGCTCCTATTCTTCTACAGCAACATTTGAAAGCATGAGAATTTTTTTTTTAGTTTTGCCAATCCAAGAGCATGAAATATCAGCTATGGTTTAAAGATTCATTTCTCTCACTAGTGAATGAGGCTGATGATCATGTCAGCTTTGTTAGACATTCAGGTTCCTTTTTGTGTCATTTACCCACTTGTCAATTGGATTTTTGCCTTTTTGTTACTGGCCTGTATAGTAATTCTTTAAAAAATTCTAGATACGAATCATTTGATAGTTGTATGAGATTAATAAGAGTGGTTAACATCATGGTAGGCTTTCGAGTCAGAAAGTCCTGAAACTGCATGCTGGTTCTACAACATTAACTAGATAACCTTATGCCAGTTACTGAATTAATTTCTCTTTAATTGTTACTTAGTTTCCTCACCTAGAAAATGAAGAGAATCATAGAAACCACATTCAACAGGTCACTGTGAGAACTAAAGTAAGATCAAACACAGAGCCTCACCATATTTGGATTATAAATGCTCAAAAGCTTTTAATACAGTCATCATGATACACCTGTTTATGTGTTCTTTTTCTTTTCTAGATAACTGCCCTGAAAACAGGAAATGTTTTATTCACCTTTTTATCCCTAGCACTTCGGATCATTAAATAAATGAATGGATGAATGAACAATGAATAAATCAATGAAATGATGTTCAAGAAAGAAAGGAAAAAATAAAGGAAAATATTGAGATACCTAAATGGAATAAGTATCCCTGTCCTCATTAACACTTAGAAGTGACTTGATATTAAGTAAAAAGTTCCTAAATTCCAGAAGTAGTGGGAATCATGTGGGAGGCAACTCAGCCTAAGAATTGCATTGTGAATACCTACTTCTTTGATTTTCACTTTTTAAATTTTCTGATTATAAAACACATATCCAATTTAAAATTAAAGTGTTCTGTGGCACGTAAGGCATATGATAATTTATCTTCCTCACTGAACTGGTTTTGTGTGCTATAAATGCAAGGTGGCTTCTCACCTAGAGGGGAAGACAAAGTCTGAGAAATGCCTACAAATTCACTGTAGAGCTCAAGAAGGAAGGTCTGTAAGAATAGAAGAATCAAAAAAGGAAATCAAATCAATTATTGAGGAGTTAAATGGCATCAAACTTGGTGTCAAGTTACATAAAGAAAAATAGAGACAGAAACTTAATATGGATATCTATACCCCCCCAAAAAAACCCAGAAAACAATTCAAAGAAGGGGGGGAAGGGGACTATGAATGAGGAGAGGGGGAAAACTTTTGTTTTTCTATGTAAGCTAACTGGCAAGTAATCTGGCGTCATGCATATGCATTTGTTGAATTAAAAAGTAAAATCTTAAAAAAAAAGTGTCAACTGAGTACACACAGAAAGAATACACAATTGAAGATATGTAATATTTTCAAAACAACTGTTATAATAATTATTCATGTGGTTTGCTTTTTAAAGTTTGATGCCTGATTAGATTGAGAGCTTCAGGAGGGCAGACACAATACCTGTTCTGTTCTCTGTTATATCCATAGCATCCAGCAGAGTGCTTGGCATAAAATAAACCTTCAATCACAACTTCAGGAGGAGAGGGAACAAAAATATAAACTAACAACTGTAAAGTTTAAGCTCAGAATTTAAAACGACATGAACCAAAGACAAAAGAGGCTATTATAAAATTCAAATCAATAAGAGTAACATCAGAAGAACTAGAGTTTAGTGGTGTCTGGGGGGCTCAGTCGGTTAAGAATCTGATTCTTGATTTCGGCTCAGGTCATGATCTCACGGTTTGCTGTTCAGGTCCTGTGTTGGGCTCTGCACAGATGGTATGGAGCCTGTTTGGAATTCTTTCTCTCTCCCTCTCTCTGCCCCTCCCCCACTCATGCTCACTTGCCTGCAGGTATACTCTCTCTCAAAAGAATAAATTAACACGAAGAAGAAGGAGAAAAAGAGAAGAAAAGAAGGAGGAGGAGGAGGAGGAGGAGAAGAAAGAAAGAAAGAAAGAAAGAAAGAAACAAACAAACAAACAAACAAAGAAACAAAGAAACAAAGAAAGAAAGAAAGAAAGAATTAGCAGTAGTAATAGTAGACTTCCTTTACAACTACAGGCATCTTCATGAGGTCTTTGCTCATACGGTTCCCTCTGTCAAGACCATCCTCTCTTGGACTTGCACAAATCTACTCATTCCAAAGGGGCGGTCTGAGTGCAAGTTCTTCACAGTCCTCACTGATGACCAGCACTCATACATCTTCCACCTCAAAATTTTTAAATGTTTTTCTCTGTCTAAAGAATTGGCCTGAAATTCTGTCTTGTATTCATTCTTCAATTTTCTTCATTCTATTTATTCATTTATAAATACCCAGCAAATAACCAATTCCTGAGATACAGAAATGAAGAGATGAGCTTCCTTCCCTTAAGAAACTGGTGAGTGACAAAATTCCTCCACAATCTGGCTTCAAATGACTTGTCTCTGAAATTCACCAGATACTTTAGCCAATAAGATTTCATTATTTCTTTTACACCCCATACTTTTTTTACCTCTGCTTCTTGACTACAATCATTTCCTCATGTGGAATGCCCTCCTCTCCCATCTTTGCACATCCAGACCTCACCATTCTTGAGCACCCATTCATATGCAAGGCCTACCACAAATCCTTCCTTGACTACCCCAGCTGTAAGTACTCTCTCATATCAATCCTTTATGACCCAAAGCAACTACACACATAAGAAAGAGCGTACAAAATCAATGGTATGCCTATAGTGGAAAGCCTAATCAGAGATGTCTCAGTGAGCAGACAATACCAGAAGAATTTTTCTGTGCCAAGCAAATATATTTGGTAAGGAAATTTTCCTGTGAAACGCTGACTCTGTGTGAAGAGAGGAATAAAATCTTTCCTGAGAATTTCAATAGAAAATAGGGCTTAATGCTGATGGGGGGAGGGGGAGTATAATTCACAGTACCCACAGTTATAAAAAGATGTTATTTTTCAAAAGACATATGTGATATAGAACCACTTGTCATAAAAAAATCTGAAGATAATGTTTGGTTGTGGATATAAATACAATACATGTAGCAAAACCTGGTATGAAGGATTCCATTGCCTCCAAGACAGCAATCCCCCACCCCCATCCCACCCAAGGAGGGAGGGATTAATAAAGATGGTGGTCCGATTATGAGGGCTGAACTACTCTTTCACTTAGTTTTTTCCAGCATTTTCTTATGAAAAATGTCAAATATAATGTTGAAAGAAATCTTCCATGAACCTCTAAGGCCCTTGGAAGAGTCCACCATTAACGGTAACCTATGTGCTTACCTTCTCGTCGCTCCATACTCCACCCCTTTACCCATCATTATTCTTTCTTGGGCATTCCAGAGACTGCTGCCAACAGCATGCAGCCCTCCGAAGGCTTCCGTGGCAGATCAAAGGTTAGAGCTCAACATTTGTACAGTTTTTCTTTCGATGTGAAATTGACTTACAACGAAATGCACCAATCTTAAGTGAACATTTGCTGAATTTTAACAAATGCGAACGTATGTGTGGCCTACACCCAAATATCAAGTTGTACAACAAGAACCCCTAGAAAACCTCTGTGCCCCTTCCTGCTCAACCCCCATCTCAGCCTCTACAGAAGCAACCGATGTGCTATTTCCATGGTAGACTAGTTTGCTCGTCCTGGAATCCCACAGCGCCTGCTTTTCTCAAGGAGACTCCCCTCGCTCAGTGCTGTGTTCCTGGGATTCACTCTATTGGCTGTGCTAGGAATGTGTTAGGTTTATTGCTGAGTATCACTCCACTTGCAGGAAATGTGCCACCCTTTGCTTATCCACTTTCCATTATCCAGATAATGGATATCTGGGCTCCAGCTCATATCCCCAATAAGGTGGGTGAGTTCTAGTGCTCTTAAATGCCTGCACAGAAGTAAATGTAAAACCTTTCTAAAGAACACACTTCAGGCTTCAAAAATTCCAAATGATGAAGTTCAGCCAACAATTAAAAATAATAAAATGACCAGGAACAAGGCATTTTGTTAGCAAAGACAGAAAATGGAAAATCAGTAGACCAACAAGTCCTTCTAACACTGGAATATAAGAGAGAACATACAATATTTTTATGTTAAAGAAAAATATCACTAGGAAAAATAAAAGTCATCAGACTTGAAATAAACCAAGGAAATGTCTAAGAATTATAAATAAAATATACCGGAATCACAAAGATGATGTAAACACAAGAGACAAAGCCAAAGAGAAAGTCAAAACACAGAACTAAAGAGATCAGCCAGAACACAGCATAGAGACCAAGGGTAATGAAGAATGAGAAAGACTGAATAAACAGAGGACAGAGTGGGAAGGTCTAACCTACATCTAATCAGTGTCTCAGGAAGACAAGTTAGAGAGAATGAGGACAAGGCACTATTTGAAGAGTTAATTCATCAGAATTGAATAAAGGTATCCTTATTTAAATTCAATTAACAAAACAAACCCCAAGTAAAAACTTAAATCCCAGACTGACCTCAGTGAACCAGGAAAAAAAAAAATAAAACTACAGGAAAAGAAGTTCTCTTCTAGCTAGAGAAAAACACAGATATTAACAAAGGAATAACAGACTAACAGTGGATTTTTCAGCAGCAACAATAAAGCCAGAAGACGGCAAAACAATGCCCTCAAAGTCCTGAGAGAACACTATCAGTTCAGGAGTGTGTACTGAGAAAAACTGCTTTTGAGAACAGGAGTGAGAAACAAAACTCAGAGCTTCTGTGATGCAAAGTTTACAGGCTGAACTTCTCCATCCTTTGCCAAGAAAAGCAGCAGTGGTTTAAATGTACAGAGTGGAACAAGCGATCTGAGTAGGCCCAATGCTCCTTCTGCCAATTTCAATCTGGCCCCACACCCCTACCTTCCTAGTGCTCAGGACCTCTAATTCCTAAACTGTTCCAGACTCCTCGGGTCAAATCTGCTTGCTTTTGGACTTAGGTGGCAACCTTCTCTGGAGGCTTAGTCACCTGTGTGTGTACCTATTAACGCAGTTCCAAACCGTGCAGGTCTCTTATCTACCCTTTATCTGTCCATTCACCTTCTGTATTTCTTCAGTGTCATTCTCATGGGTGTGTCAAAGGGGAAAAGAGGAAAACCAACTGTGGTTAGTTAAAAATTCCAGGGTAATCTTTGTCATCTACGAATTCTCTATAAAAACTTGTCAACTCACTTTTATCTCTAATATCAGCTCGCTGGAATGTGCCTTCAACACTATATTCAATATAACAAAATATGGAACCTTACCATTAAGTAACTTCTTACATCCAAATGACTAATAAAAGCACACAGTCATTCACTTCCTATCATACCCTGATTTCATGAGTTCTTCCCAACAGAGATATTAAAATGTAAGTACCTTTTCATGCTTCTTTAGGAAGTTGGTTTTCTTGATTTTCCCATGATGCTGCAATTAAGGAAAATAACTGTTAAGATGGAAAAAAAAAGGTGATACTCCATAAAAACAGAAAATGTAATTTAAAACATGGCACATATAATACTTATTTCATATCTTAGGCTTTCTTATTTACTTCCACCTAAAATAACGTATTTTAGGCTACTTTGACTTAGATTTAGAGTGTACACAAGACAACTTCTGTATGTAAAGAAAAGGTGTTAAAATAGTGATACTTCCTAAAAAAACTTAATATATTGGCTCAGTACAGCATTATTGGTTTCTATAAAAACAAAACTTCCAAAGATAAATGGGTTTTTATTCATCCCTTAAGGCAGGCTGTCAATTCACATAAGAAACACTGACTGAGGACATTTAGTTAAGCACATGGGATTCAATAGTCCTTTGCTTTCATGAAACTAAAGACTAGTGGGAAGATAAACAAAACAACAAATAAAAATTTATTACAAATACATTTAATAATAAATAAAATTATACATATTTTTTCAAAAAGAAAAAAATTCCAAAATGGAATTTCTCCAACTAATATACATGCAGAAGAGGCTTCTGAATGGTCTGCATGTCAATGTATGGAGTACACAGCACCCTTAGAACTATTCCCATCTCTCACACTTTAAACAAAACCTTATTTATATGTATTGTTAAACCTAGAATTATTACCTAAGGTATACCTGAACTCTTCTGTGAAACTACGTACTTTTCCCATACTGATTATGACCTTAATTTAAAGCCTTTTTTTAGTAAGCTCTCTTTTTATTCCTTTTTTTTTTTTTTTTAAAGAGAGAGAGTACAAGTGGGGGAGAAAGACAAAGGGAAAGGAGGGAGAGAGAGAAAATCCCAAGCAAGTTCCACACTCAGCCCAGAGCCCGATGTGGGGCTCAATCCCACAGACCCTTGGGATCATGACCTGAGCTAGAATCAGGAGTTGGATGCTCAACTGACTGAGCCACAAAGGCATCCCACATAGTTAGCAATCTCTTATTCTAATCTCTACCCCTGAGAAATTACAAGTGTTGAGAAATTTCAAAATATTCCCGGAATCTTCAAAAACAAAGTAAAAAGAAATAATTATTACCTTAAGAAAGAACCTCTTGTCAGTTCTTGCTGGATTGTATGAAGCAAGGTAAGCAGCAATTAAAATAAACTTGGAATAATATGGAAGTTCCACATGAGTATATGCTGAGAGCCCTACAGAACAAAAAACTTTCATGAAGGCATTGAATAGGCTACCGCTAAGTTTCTCTTATCTTTTCTCACTTATGTTTTTTGACTTCCATATGGTGTTCTCTTGTACAAATGACCTATTCCCTAAGCTTAAAGTGTCATATAATGATGGTGGCAGCAGTGGTAGGAAACATCACTGTTAGTCATATGCTTGCTCATTCTATTATTTTTGCTGAGCTCCTTCTATTCTGAACTCTAAATCCTACTCATTCTGCCCTTCAAAGCCACATTTTCCATTAAGCATTCCCTGATGCCTTCCTATCAAACCAGAGTAGAAAATCTGTCCCTAATATGAATTCTAACTTTGAGTATTTAACTCATGGCCTGTGTAACTTTATACCTTGTATTAATAGTTAATTATATACATAAATTATATTTCTTACCAAGCTATACTGTTTGCTGAAGGAACTGTATCTAGTATGTTTTTATAGATATCCCTATAGTATGCTGCACAAAGGAAAAAAACTAAATGAGCAGATAAATAAAACAAGAGAGCCAGGCAAATAGCATTGATGTGTACAGGAAAGGAAGGAATCTGCTAGTTACAGAATATCTAGTATGTGTCAGACACTGTGCTAGGTGCCTTACTTAGACATCTCTGAATCTTTGTAATAACTTAAAACTAGACATTCTACCCATTTTGGTTGAGGACACTGAGGTGGACTCAAGGTTGTACAATTAGGGAATAAAGCAGACCAATCATTACAGATTTTCTAATGCCAGCATCTATTTCTTTCCATTGGAACATACAACTGGTGCCATCACTTGTATGGCACCTAGAGCATTTAGAAACCAAAAGAGACAAAACAGAATTGCAACACCACTTAATTTTACACCACCTCAACAACATCTAGACAGTGATCTATTTTTTAAAATATTTTCGATACGTGCTTAATTATAAGTAAAAGTTCTTCTATGGAGATAAATCCAAACTGATAAGTTTCTTTAAAGAAAACAAAAGCACAAAGTTTTTTAAACTTAACCAACAGAAATGCATCCCCCAAAGTGGGTTAACATAAAACTCATGAAGTACATATATACTGAGCTAAAACTGTGTCACACAACTCAACAAAAGCATTTAAAGAAATTAAACTGCTTGAGTTTTACAGGATATAATCCAACATTTAGAAAAGAGAAAGCTGATATTTGAATTATTTCCTCTCATTAAGTAGAGCTTCAGTTAAGAGAAAATCATTCATTCAAATATCACTGTAGCTTGTAGAGTCTTTTCTGTCACACTACTTACTGACTAATGCTAACTTTAGAATTAACATCAGTATCTTAGTTATCAGTAATCAATTAAAGACATGTCTCTGGTAACTGTCTCAACGTGTCCTTGGATACCTTTCAGTTGTGCTGGATCAGTGTCATCTTTCTGTAGCTTTTCCCACTGTGAACTGAAAGAAGACAGAAGAGTAATAATGGTTTGAAAATACATGAAATCAATATATTGGACTTAAGAGAGTTCTAGAAAAAACTAAAAATTTTTGATTTAAGAAAACAATTTCTTTACAAATAACATATATATGCAATAATATACCTGTGCCTCAATGAAATCACTGAGCGCATATTAGAATATAAACTTACATATCAACACCTAGATGTTAGTTTTAATTTTTTTTAATTTTTTAAAGTTTATTTATTTATTGGGGGGGCAGGGGCAGAGAGAGAGGGATAAAGAATCGCAAGCAGGCTTCACGCTGTGAGCACAGAACCGAACACAGGACTCGAACTCATGAACTGTGAAGCTGAAATCAAGAGTAGGACGCTTAACCAACTGAGCCACCCAGGCGCCCCAATACTCAGGTGTTAATTTTTAATCTCTTTTCCTGATCATAATTTTAAAGCTATCAGAAAGTACGAATAAATAAATAACATCACCTACCCTTCAGTATAACTCCCCATGTTTCAGTTAGCATATCAGATGCAACTGTTATACACTACTTCTAACTCTGTAACAATCTCTTAAAATAAGTACCATTTCACCAGAAAATTGAGGTCCACCCAGGACCAAGGTTAAGTTGCCCAAGGACAGGGGCGCCTGGGTGGCTTAGTCAGTTAAGCGTCCGACTTTCACTTAGGTCATGATCTCGCAGTTCGTGGGTTCGAGCCCCGCGTCGGGCTCTGTGCTGCCAGCTCAGAGCCTGGAGCCTGTTTCAGAGTCTGTAACTCCCTCTCTCTCTGACCCTCCCCTGCTCACGCTGTCTCTCTCTCTCTCTCTCTCCTAGAAATAAATAAAACATTAAAAAAAAAAAATCAAAAAAAAAAAAAAAAGTTGCCGAAGGACACCCAGCCAGTCAGTAATGGAGCTAAGACCTGAATCCTTGTAGAATGCCTGCAAAGCTCACGCCATTTCCACTGCCTCCTCTGACCTTACTTGCAATTAAAACTATTAAACAGCCTCAAATATTATTAAGAATATAAAGTAAGGATATGACAAGTCAAATTCATTAGGAAATACACTATAGTGTAGTAAAAAGACGCCCTGAGAGACAGAAGTTTTAGCTGTATGACCTTGAATAAATCAATATACTTCTCACCAAAATATAAGGCAGTTAGATGCAGTGATCTGTAAGGACCCTCTCAAACTCATTAACTCAGCTCAAAATACTAATTTAAAAATAAATGCCAGATCAGAACGAAATATCCCAAATTTAACTGTACTTCTCCAAATCTGCAAGCAGAGCTGAAAATTATGGAGATACAGGCGTACTTCATTTTATCATGCCTCACTTTGCTGTGTTTTGCAGATGGTGCATTTTTTACAAATTGAAGATTTGTGGCAACCCTGCATCAATCAAGTCTACTGGCACCAATTTTCCAACAGCAACTGCTCACTCCATGTCTCTGTGTCACATTTTGGTAGTTCTCATACTATTTTAAATTTGTTCATCACTATTATTTGCAATGATGATCTGTGATCAGTGATCTTTGATGTTACTGCTTTAACTGTTTTAGGAGTTCAAAACATATGCCCATATAAGATGGGAAACTTAAACGCTCCAATGACTGACCATTTCCCCATCTCTCCCTCTCCTTGGGCCTTCTTATTCCCTAAGACACAGTAATATTGAAATTAGGCCAATTAATAACCCTACAATGGCCTCTGAGTATTCAAGTGAAAGGAAAAGTCACATCTCTCACTTTAAATCAAAAGTCAGAAATGATTAAGGTCAGTGAGGAAGTCCTGTCAAAAGCCAAGATAGGCTGGAAGCTAGGCCTCTTGCACCAAACAGCCATATTTTGAACATAAAGGAAAAGTTCTTAAAGGAAACTCAAACTGCTACCCCCAGTAAACACATAAATGATAAGAAAGCAAAAGAGCATTACTGCTGTCTGGACAAAGTATTAGTGGTCTGGGCAAAGATTAAGTCAGCCACAACACTCCCTTCAGCCAAAGCCTAATCCAGAGCAAAGTCCAACTCTCTTCAATTCTATGGAGGCTGAAAGGAATGAGGAAGCTACAGAAGAAAAGTCTGAAGCTGGCAGAGGTTGGTTCACAAGGTTTAAGGAAAGAGGACAGAGGACATCTCCATAACATACAAGAGCAGGGTGAAGCAGACGGTGCCAATGTAGAAACTGCAGTAGCTGTCTACAAGATCAAGCTGAGATCATTAATGAAGGCGGCTACACTAAACAAGAGATTTTCAGTGCAGGTGAAACAACCTTCTCCTGCAAGATGCCGCCATCTGGGACTTTCATAGCTAGAGAGTTGACTCTCTGGTTAGGGGCTAATGTAGCTGGTAACTTTAAGTTGAAGCCAATGCTCAATGACTGTTCCAAAAATCCTAAGGCCCTTAAAAATTATGCTCAATCTACTCTGCCTATGCTCTGTCAATGGAATAACAATCCTGGATGGCAGCACATTTATTTACAGCATGGTTTACTGAGTATGTTAAGCCCACTGTTGAGACCGACTCCTCAGAAAAGATTCCTTTCAACATGTGACTGACTGCTCATTAACAAAATATCAACAAGAACAAGAGTTTGGAAGAAGCTGATTCCAACCCTCATGATCAGCTTTGAGGGGTTCAAGACCTCAGTGGAAGAAATAACTGCAGACGGGATGGAAACAGCACGAGAACTAGGATGTTAAGTGGAGCCTGAGGATGGGGCTGCATGGCCATAATCTCATGAACTTTAATGGATGAGGAGTTGCTTGTGATGCATGAGTAGTTTCCTGAGATGGAATCTACTTCTGGTGAAGATGCTAGGAAGATTTTTGAAATGACATCAAAGGATTTAGAATTCTATATAAACTTAGTTGATAAGGCAGCAACAGGGTTTAAGAGGACTGACTGATTCTGAAAGTTCTACTGTGGGTAAAATGCTATCAAACAGCACTGTCAACAAAATGGCAGCAAATTACATCGCTGTCTTAAGAAACTGCCACAGCTACCCCAACTTTCAGCAACCACCAGTCAGCAGCCATCAACATCAAGTCAAGACCCTCCACCAGCAAAAAATTAAAACTCACTGAAAGTTCAGATGATGGTTAGCAATATTTAGCAGTAACATATTTTTTATAAAGGTATGTACATTGGTTGGTTTGTTTGTTTTTAGATAATGCTATTGCACTCTTAATAGATAGTAGTATAGGATAAACTAACTTATATACGTACAAGGAAACCAAAGAAACTCATTTGGCTCACTTTACTGCGTTATTTTTTTATTGCAGTAGACTGGAACAGAAGCTGCAACGTCTCCAAGGTACACCTGCACAATAATATGGGAAATTCCAACAGGCTACCAGTAACCTATGTGGACAGCAGACCCAGTACAGCAAGCTGACTTTCAAAATAGATCACTTCTGCCACCTATGGCTCAATAATGCTTCACAGGTTATAAGGCATTTTCATTACTTCTTATAAAAGCCAAGAAAGATAAATTTTATCATTTACATTGTTATAACCCAGACTTTGAGATAGTTTAAATTGATAAGATTTTTTTTATATGGCAAGTACCCCTGTAATGTTAAACTTTCAAAGGACAACCAAGTGAAAAAATGACCATCTTTAATGAAAAAAGAGGAAACTAACATTTACCAAGTGTCTTCTATGAACCCAGCTCTTAAAATATTCCACTTATCATTCATGAGTTTATAAAGCAGACAGGATCACTTCTTTTTTTTCCTTTCTGTTTTTCTTTTTTTAAATAAATGACGAAACTCAAAGTCAGAGAAGTTAATCTAAGGCTACAAAGTGGAACCAGTTTAAACTTAGATCTGACTAAAAAGTTTATCCATGTTTTAAATAAATGTTTATGAATTACCAATTTCCAGAGGTGATTCAGAGTCAGAGTAGTTGGTTAATTAGGTCAAATAGGCTAGAATTTTAAGAAGAACCAGGGAACAAGGTTAGAGTCTTTTTCATAATTTGTCCATACTGCTTATAAAAGCTGTACAACCAACATGTACTCCCAGCATCAGCCTGGTGAGTCAGGACCTACCCTTCCAGGACTTTATTCTTTATTCTGCTTATCCAAATTATTTAATCTCAATTAGGAAATATAAAATATGTGATTTTTTAAAATTTATTTTAAAATATTTAAATTTTTACATGTGTGAAGGGTCAGGGATAGTGGGAAAAATATAGATGAGTCACACCTTGAAGCAATGTGAATGCTTTCAAATGGACCAGTAGGTATCACCACTGAGAATGCCATTTCCCTACCATCCTATGGAAAATCTCACTGGTCCTTTATATCGCACTGCAAGAAAAAAACGGAACTTAAGGGCATTCCATATGATTGGACTACAAAGGTAGCCAGGTGGAACAAAAATGCAAACTGTCCTAACTACCAAAAATTTTTTCAAAGACAAATAACTGCATAAATAAATTCAGCAAATTAACATGACAAAGTTAATATAACATATACATTTCGTATCAATAAATACAAATGAATGTAATTCACCCATTAAAGAAAAGGGTTTTCAAACTGCCTCAGCAAAGGGCATCTAGGTGGCTCAGTCGGTAAAGTTTCTGGATCTTGGTTTTGGCTCAGGTCATGATTCCAAGTCCCTGGGATCAAGCCCTGCATCCAGCTATGCACTGACAGTACAGAGCCTGAGCCTGCTTGAGATTCTCTCTCTCTCCTTCTCTCTCTGCTCCTCCTCCCCACCAAAAAAATAAATAAACATTTAAAACAAAACAAAATGTCTCATCGAGGGAGGAGGTTAGATTAGCAAATTATCTCTGTGCTCTATCTTTCTGGGAAAAAAACACATTATAGGTTATATATTAATTGCAAAGGGAAAGAAGTGCCTTTGCATACATCAAGATTTATGTGCATACACATGCATATTTTTTAAGATAATATTTTATTTTTAAGTTTATTTATTTTGAAAGAGAAAGTGTATGCATGTGTGCGCATGTGAGGGGGAGGGGCAGAAGGGAGGGGCAGAAAAAGAGAGAGAGAATCCCAAGCAGGCTCCACACTGTCAGCTCAGAGCCCCACACAGGGCTCAATCTCACAAACAGTGAGATCATAAACTCAGCCAAAATCAAAGTCAGACACTTAATTGACTGAGCTATCCAAGCACTCCCAAAAATTATATAATGTTTTTAGGAAAAAGAGTAAACAAGGTAAGGGTGGATATGAGACTTCTTTGAATATATGTTTTGAAAAATATAGTTATACTTCTGGGGGCACCTGCGTAGCTTAGTTAGTTAAGCATCCAACTTTGGCTCAAGTCATGATCTCATGATTTGTGAATTTAAGCCGTGAATTGGGCTTTCTGCAGTCAGCACAGAGCCTGCTTCAGATCCTCTGTCTCCGTCTCTGTCTGCCTTTCCACTACTCACGCATTCTCTCTCTCAAGAATAAACATCTGAACACACACACACACACACACACACACACACACACAATTGTACTTCTGACTTATTGACACCCATGTGTTACCTGTACGGCAATCAGTAAACCACTCTACTTTTCCCTCTCTTTCCCTTCTCTTTCTATGATTTAACTTTGTAACTGTGTTATTTCTTCCCTATCAGACAGAACATGTAATATTCATAATAGTCATTTACCCTTGTTTTCATCTTTTAGTTCTGAGCTAAGATTAACTGAATTCAGTGCTCATCATCAACCCTTTTGCTAAAGTTTCCCCAGTCATGCCTGTTGCACACCCTTTTCAGTAGAAGACTCTTGGGAAAGTGTTTATGAGCAGTATTCCTAGAGTTCTTACATGTTTACAATGGTTTCTAGAGCCCTGCTACTTGAACAATAGGTTGGCTGGATACAAAATTCCTTGCCTTACACTTCCTTTCTTGTTAAGTTTCTTGAAAATGTTGCTCCCCTGTTGTTTCTCTTCATTAGATTCACTGCCCTTTTTAAGTAGCTGACCTTTCTGCCTAGATTCTCAGAAATAGTTGGTTTTTTTGTTTGTTTGTTTGTTTGTTTTAGAGCTAAAAACACAAGAAAGTCTCTGCAGTAGGCTCAGTACAAGTCCCTAAAGATATCCATGCCCCAAATGCTGGTACCTGAGAATATGACCTTACATGGTAAAAGAGACTTTGCACAGTGACTGAGTTAAGGATCCTGAGATGGATAGATTATTCTGGATTGTCTGGGTAGGCCCAATGAAATCACAATTTAAGAGGAAGACAAGAGGTTCAAAGAGAAGTCTGGCTTTGAAGTCAGAGCAAGGAACACAGGCCAAGGAATGCAGGTAGCCTCTAAATGATAGACAAGGCAAAGACACAGGTACTCCCCAAAAGCCTCCAGAAGGAACAGAAACAGAGCCCTGTGCACCCATATTAGATTTCTGAAATCCAGAAATATAATACATGTACATTTTTAAGCTACTAGTTTGTGGTAATTTGTTACAGATTAATAGACTAGGGTAGTCTCCGAATTGACCATTCTGGGTCAAATGAAAAGATGAACTCTGTAATCTGTGGAACCAGGTCTTCTTTTACTTCTGGAAAGTCTTCTTCGGTTACAGTTTTAGATCTGTGTTCAAATCCACTGTTTTCTTTAGGAACTCCAATTATACACATATCGAATCTTTGCCGTCACATTTATGCATTCTAAATTATTTTTACCTATTTAGTTTTGTCGTCTTGGTTGTTTTCATTTCTGTCTTCAATACCCTTTATTAATTCTCGGTTGAATCTACTCTCCTTGGATATCTTAAAATTCCATTTTCATTTGAGGAGATTAAATATCAAGTTCTCTCCACTTTGATATGTCCAATGTATTTGCTTGAATCTGAAAACAGATGATATACTACGAATGCAGGGGTGAGGGTCTGGGATGGCTTAATAGATTTTTTAATTCTAAAATGCTTTCTTCTGTAAGAATAATGAAGTGCAGTGCCATTCTGAGGGGGAGAGATTGGCTTATCTCCTGATTTTGTCACTCTCTTCTTATTTGATGGTGGGGTGGCGGGGTTCCCTAATCTCTATCCCCCACTTCTTTCTTGACTACCTACTCTTCAGGGGATGCCCTGCCCTTTCAAACCACCTCTCTGTCTCCCCTCAAAAACAGTACTTCCCTAAGAGAGCCATGATAATTCTTGTCATACATGCTCTTAAAACACTTAAAGTCTTCAGTAGCTAGTGCTCTAACCCTTCAGGTCCCACTCGTTCTCAGTATTTACCCACTCAGGACTGGACTCTCAATTAAAGGTGATTTCATCTGTCTTTCACCACTACTAGTGAGCCCATCTCCTATTCCCTATGTCTTCTCCTTGCAGTTACTGCTTAAGGGTGTATTTCAGCATGAACTCCAGAGCTGGCTCTGCTGGCCTCAGTTGTTTCATTAGTTACATATAAATGGAAGTTTGTAGTCAACTCTGAAGACTCCCAGTTATGGTGCAGGCAAAGATTAAAAGTGATTTTATTTGCTCTCCTTATTGTTCTTATGGAGAAAACTGGATTTACGTGGCCATCACTATCCTATGAGAAACTCTTAAGTCCTTCCATTATTACATAAAAATCATTTTAAGCATCCAAATTTTTCTACCTTTAAGAGAGCACATAACAAGCTTTCCATTCTGGGACTTCCGAAAATCCTCATCAAATGACATTTATTTAAAATGTTCTATTTATTTTTGAGAGAGAGAGAGAAAGAGAGAGAGAAAGAGCGAGAGAGAGCGAGCATGAGCAGGGGAGGGACACAGAGAGAGGGAGACACAGAATCTGAAGCAGGCTCCAGGTTCTGAGCTGTTGGAGCAGAGCCCGACACGGGGCTCAAACTCCAAAGTCTGATGCTTAACAAGTGAGCCACCCAGGTGCCCCTCAAATAACTTTTATTGAAAAGAAATAACAGTATGTTTGTAATTTTTATATTTTTCAGAAACTATTACATTTCTACCTTAATTTCAGTCTAATTGGCTAATTAAATGAGCAAAGTTAGTAAAGAAAAGGAGTTACAGACTAAGATATTTATGGGAGAAAAATGATAACACAATTGACCAGAAAGTGAGAAAAGCAGACAGTGTTGATGTTTTTAAATTTCCTATACTGCTTTGTAACTGAGGCTTAATCTATCACTTAAGACTTTATTATTCACAAATCATTTTCACACACAAGATTATTTAAATCTTGTAAGGATTGTTAAGAGGAGAAAACTGAGGCCTAGAGTCCTAGTGACTGAGATCACACAAGGCAGAATATGGCTGAGATGAAATTAAAACTCAGTTCCTCCCCCTGCACTAAATGCCACCACGTTTCCTGCTTCATTACTATGAAATTTTAATACAGACAAATGTAGACTTATGACTTAATTTATACATTGCTTTAATAATCAAATTTTCATTATACTATTCAAATATCTAACACAAATATAAGAAACAAAGCTGAAGTTCATTTTCCTGTAGATTTCTAGACTTAAAAAAATTACTAATTCTGAGACATATGTCTTGCTTCAAACTGTGTAACATACTGGTTAAAAATTGTTTGCTCTTCCCAAAATAAGAAGAAATGATTCAAAACTCATGAATATTTTCCTAATTGTGAAGAAGGTAAATGAAAATATATATATACTGTAGTAGACAAAATATCCAAACTAAAGATAAAGAAATATTATATCCATATTAAATAGAAAATTACCTTGATATTTCCCGGAGATAAACAGTCTGCATGGCTTTCTTCAAATGAGGTTCAATATTTCTCCAGAGTTTGCGAGTATCACGTTCATTTGCTACCCCAAATGAGAGAAAATCACAAAAATTCAGATCTTACAGAAATTTTTTTCAAAACAAATATTCATAAGTAAAATTACATAGGTACCTTCTCCTTTAACCACAGGTTCACAATATTTAGGAAAATTAAGTACTGCCTGTAAATAAAGGGGAATAAAAGAAAAAAGGCATTATTTTCCAAGTATAATTTTCATTAGAATTTAGGCAATTTTATTTCAATATAATTACTCAAAAAGTTTTATAGTTTATTCCAGTAATAAAACAGAATGTATCAAAAAAGATAGTAAAACAACATGTAAAATACTCCTTAATTGGCTAAATATTGCTAATGTATTAGCCTCTAGATATAAAGCAATATAGCAAAGCATAATTTGTCATTTTATCACATAATTATGTCACAAAGGACATAATAAAATACTACTAGCCCAAAAAATTAACCTGTTATTTTCCAGGTTTGAACATTCTCACACATCAAACATCATCTCATCCACTACAATTCAAAATTATGTGATTGGAAACACTACCTGAGGCTATTATAAATTTAAATTCTTGGCATCATGCCAGGCATACTAGATTACAATCTCTAAGAATGAGATCCATGAATCCATGTTTTAACAATCTCTCCAGAAACTCTATGTATTACAAAGTCTGAGAAGCACTAATCATTATTACTTAACAGTTTTCCGTGAATTAACACTGGAATTCTTTTTTTTTTTTTTTTATTTCTAGGAGAGAGAGAGAGAGAGAGACAGCGTGAGCAGGGGAGGGTCAGAGAGATAGGGAGTCACAGACTGAAACAGGCTCCAGGCTCTGAGCTGGCAGTCAGCACAGAGCCCGATGTGGAGCTCGAACCCACGAACCGCGAGATCATGACCCAAGCGAAAGTCGGACCCTTAACCGACTAAGCCACCCAGGCGCCACTAACACTGGCATTCTACTGTGAGGTAGTTCAAGCAAAGTGACAAAAAAAATGCTGCTGCCGTTTATTAGTATTAATTTGAGGAGCTGCCTGGATGGCTGTCAGTTAAGCATCGGCTTAGGTCATGATCTCAAAGTTCATGGGTTCAAGCCCCACTTCGGGCTCTATGCTGACAGCTCAGAGCCTGGAGGCTGCTTCAGATTCTGTATCTCTGCTCTCTCTGCCCCTCCCCCACTTGCACTCTATCTCCCTCTCTCAAAAATAAACATTAAAAATGTTTTCTTAATATTAATTTGAATACAAGTATTTCATACTAAAATGATTCGATAATGAAGTCTGGAGAAAGATATACATAAACGCAGAACTATAAACCTCAAATCCAGAAGATAACAGAGAGCTAAGAACTAATCCTTGAAACAGTTTTTCCTATTTTACTCCACAAAGTGCAACTGTTTAGGACAGAAAAATATTTCAAACTTTATTAATATCAAGTATAGAGAGGTCAACTCTCTTAACTTAGTTCCAGGTTTTCAGATCTAAACACTGCTTAGTAACACTAATAGGTCATAATGTTAGTAGGAACTGATAAACAATTTGGCTAACAGCTTTTTTTTTTTTGGCAAAAACATTAAAATATATGTTTAAGCATTTACAAATAGTGGTAAAAAGGTAATAAAGATAATTTTAAGAGACTTGTTTCCCGTTTTACTTTAAGTTAAGTACTTACCCCATGTCATTCTTCAAGAACTTGCTGAGTATAAAAACTATATGATTATAATGGGACACTTTAATTGTCCAAATGCAATCTCTATATTAAGTCTATAAATCTTAGCCCATAATAACATGGAATTTCACAAACAAAATCATATGTTCAAATACAAAATACTTCTTACAACTTTGGCTATCAACTTTCAAATGTGCTCTCCAATATTATACCCATTTCTCCTATATTAATCCCCAAATATAAGCAAGTTCTCACATCCCTATAGTAATATTACTTAGAGCAAAATCTAACTTCAGGCCCACTGGTATTTTAAACTGTCCTCCCAGCCACCCAGAGAATAGAAACAAAAAGGCTGCTAATAAAATCACAAAAATTATTTCAAAGCCCAAGCAGAAATAATGTTTAAATGATTATTTGACATAATAAATTTTTACTTCCACTGAACATTCCCCTCATTTTAATTTCCCCAATATTCCTTAACTTTTAAGCATATCTTCTACTCTTAACTGGTTGCATTAATAAGAAGGGGGGGGGGAGACAGATGCATAATTTTGTTAAGAAATGACCATGTGCTCAGCAAATATTATGCTCATAATTGTAACAAGAGAAGCATACTTATCAAGAGTTAGTTATGGCCACTTGTTATCTCACTCACTCCTGACAATTGCACATTTATGATGCCCACTTGTCAACCCAGAAACCAAAATATAATTTGCTTACAGGCATGCACAGACTCCACTGCCTGAATTTATGATCATGGATATGTGAGATGTTCTGGGAACTTACTTCTTTTTTTATTTTTTCTTAAATAGTTTATTGTCAAGTTGGTTTAAACACCCCATGCTCATCCCAAAAAGTGCCATGCCCATCACCCTCCCTTCCGTCTCCCCCACTCCCATTAGCCCTCAGTTTGTTCTTGGCATTCAAGAGTCTCTCACAGTTTGTCTCCCTCCGTCTCCCCCACTATTTTTCCCCTTCTTCTCCCACATCGTCCTCCATTAACTTCCTCCTAATCCACCTATACATGCAAACATATGGTGACTGTCCTTCTCTGCCTGACTTATTTCGCTCAGCATAACACCCTCGAGTTCCATCCATGTTGCTACACATGGCCAGATTTCATTCTTTCTCATTGCCATGTAGTATTCCATTGTATAAATATATCACATCTTCTTGATCCATTCATCAGTTGATGGACACTTAGGCTCTTTCCATGTTTTGGCTACTGTTGAGAGTGCTGCTATGAACGTTGGGGTACATGTGCCCCTATGCATCAGCATTCCTGTATCCCTTGGGTAAATTCCTAGCAGTGCTATTGCTGGGTCATAGGGGAGTTCTAGTGTTAATTTTTTGAGGAACCTCCATACTGTTTTCCAGAGTGGTTGCACCAGCTTACATTCCCACCAACAGTGTAGGAGGGTGCCCATTTCTCCACATCCTTGCCAGCATCTAGAGTCTCCTGATTTGGGGAACTTACTTCTAAACCAATAAAGGCACAATGTCATCAAAGCCTGAACCAGGTGAAACTGAGAGACTATTTTCCCTTATACTGCAGAAAAAAAACTTGCATTGCTTTAAGAGGCAAAACAATCTATTATGAATAATGATTAGGTTGCCCTAAGACAGAGACAGGCAATTTAGGACACTTCAAACTCTCCCTCAGTGAGATTTTCAGCAAAACTTCATTACTGCATTTGAAATTACTTGTTAGAAAATGATCTGATACATGTATATTGTAGTAAGCAAAATTCTAAGACAGCCCCTCATATACACACATACATTCTCTCAGTTATTCAATCAAATGCTATTTTAGGTACTGTTGTGAAAGAATTTTGTAGATGCAATTAAAGTCCCAAAGATTGTACTATTTATGGGAGAGTTAAAATGAAGAGATAATCAGATGAGTCTGACCTAATCACACAAACTCTTCAAAAGCAGAAAGTGTTCTCTGGCCAGGCACAGAAATCAGAGACTGGGTGTATGAGAAGGAGTCAACAAACCCTTGCTAGCTGGTGGATGGAAAGTTGTGTGGCAAAAAGTACACGTGCTCTCTAGGAAGCCTGAGAGAGACTTGGCTGACAGCTAGCAGGACAGCTCTGAATCTCATTCTTAGAGCCAAAAAGAAGTGCATTCTGTCAAGTCTGAATGAGCTTGGAAACTTTTTTCCCCAAAACCTCAAGCTGAGAATAGTTTAGCCAAAACTTTAATTTCATCTGTGATGTCCTGAGCAGAGAAGCCAGCAACAGTTCCTGGATTTCTGACCTACAGAACTATGAGCGAATCAATGTTTATTGTTTTAAGCCACTAAATTTGCAGTAACGTGTTATGCAGCAATAGAAAGCTAATACACATGTTGAAGTATAAATGTAAAAAATATTCCAATATTCCAAGGCCAAGTAGAAATAATGTCTGAACTCTTTTGCTTTTTTTATAAATACCCACATTTTATCTCTGAAACATTAAAAGGAACAAAAATCAGAACTGAAAACATTTGTATTAACATTAAATTAATCAAGCAATGAGGTCTTACCATGTGCCAGGTTTTACTATTCTAAGTGCTCTACGTTCTCTATATGATCATTCATTTAATCCTCTGAATGATCCTATGAGGTAGACAGTATTATTATCATCCCCATCTTACAGAAGTTACAGTATACTCCAACCTCTGACTTCTCCTTCTCTGATCAGTTACAGAAAACTCTCTGCTTTAAAGTGCTTATGTGATTAGGTGATACCCACCTTGGTAATCACAGTATCTTAAAAATAGGATAATCTGAAGCTAGACAGATATAAAAAAATGATTAAGTTGAAATTCAGATGAGAAGCAAGATATTTACAAGGTTTTAAAGTACATCCCCACAAAACACATATTACAAAGGAAAAAAGAAAAACCTCTTAATCAAATGATCAAAGTGAACATTATCACTGACAAAATAACATGAAATCCTGCAATACATGATAGGATGCAAGTAAACAAAGCATCATTTCTATGATATTCCTGTCAGATGCATAACCTGAATCTGATAAGCCAATATTAGACAAATCCAAACTGAAGGTGATTCTACAAAACTGTCCTACCATCCTCAAAAGTCTCAAGGTCATGAAAGTCAAAGACTGAACAACTGTTCCAGATGAATGTTCAAGAAACATAACAACTAGGGGCGCCTGGGTGGCTTAGTCGGTTAAGCGTCCGACTTTTGCTTAGGTCATGATCTCGCGGTTCGTGGGTTCAAGCCCCGCGTTGGGCTCTGTGCTGATTGCCAGCTCAGAGCCTGGAGCCTGTTTCAGAGTCTGTCACTCCCTCTCTCTCTGACCTTCCCCTGCTCACGCTGTCTCTCTCTCTCTTTCTCTCTCTCTCTCTCACCTAGAAATAAATAAAACATTAAAAAAATTAAAAAATAAATAAATAAAAAATGTTTACTTATATTTTGGAGAGAGAGGCAGAGAATGAGAGAGAGGGAGACACAGAATCCAAAGCAGGCTCCAGGCTCTGAGCTGTCANGACTCCCTCTCTCTCTGACCCTCCCCTGCTCACACTGTCTCTCTCTCTCTCCTAGAAATAAATAAAACATAAAAAAAAAAAAAATTAAAAAAAAACAAAAAACAAAAAAAACATAACTAAATGCAATATGTGATTCTAAACTGGACTCTTTTGCTCTGAAGCACATTATTGTGACAACTGTCAAATAGTGAATAGGGTCTGATGATCAGGTTGTGGCAAGGAATCCATTTTCACATTCTGATAGTTGCACTGCAGTTATGTGGAAAAATGTCTTTCTAGGATATGCACACTGAAGTATTTGGGGTGATGGCCATTAGGTCACAAACTTAATCTCAGATGATTTGGGGAGAAAAGAGAAAAGTTCTTTTTAATGTACTTGCAATTTTTCTGTAAATCAGAAATTGCTTTCGAAATTCTTAAATAAATTCTGAAACTATCCAATACTTCCATGATCTTGTAAATACTCTAACAAAATAATGAAAGCAAGCTATTAACATGTCAGTGCTACTGAATATGGTTTTGATACAAAAAGAGTCCTCAATTATTCAAGGCCAAAAATAAAGGTACCCTGTAAAGGCCCAATTGGGAAAACCAGCTAAATACCACTTCTTGCTTGCCCTGTCTAGAGACAATTATTTAACATCCATTTAACAGGAATGAATATCTCAAAATGTTGAGCAAATGTAGATAAAAAGGAATGCATTCTATTTGTTTCCATTGAGATAAAGTTCCACAACAGGCAAAACTAACCTTTTAACGTTAGAAGCAAAGATAGTGATTATCTCTGGGGAGCGAAGAAGAGGTAGTGATTTGGAGGAAGCATGAAGTGGACTCCTTGGATGTTGGTAGTTTTCTACTTTTTGACCTGGCTCTATTTACACATGTGTTTTCATTTTGTGACAATTCACTAAGATACATATGTATGGTTTCTGTGCTTTTCTATATGTATGCTACACTTTCATCAAAAAGTTAAGAAAATACGAAGAAAAACAAACCTAACTAGGTTTTTACAAGCACTTTAATAGAGAGTATTTCATTTTACACTCATAAAAATTATATGAGGCATGTATTCTTGGTCTGTTCCCACCCCACTACTTTAGAAATGAGGAAACTGAAGTACACAAAATTACATACATAACATACTGGTAGGCAGCAGAGCTAAGGTATTTCAATATTAAGTCCTCTGCTCATTTTACCATATTTACTTCAATTATCTGGCACTCTCTTCTTAGTCACTGTGTCACTAGTCAACACCACAACCCACAGGGCCAAACCACACAAAATAACAACAAAAACGGCCTCAGAAACTTGGAATTGCACTCTAAAAGATTACTAAGCTTTGCCTAAGCAATTAATTTTTCTGAGTCATCTCTAAGTAAACTCTAATATTTAGGGAGAAAAAAGTTTAAAATATACTAAGTTTACTGTGTGACAGATTTGTTTTAACAAAACTATGCAAGAAAATTTTAGAAAATGAACCATTCTGTGTCTGACACTTATATAGGAGTATAAAAATAACTTCTTCAATCAATCCTTTTAAAAAATATAATTACTATTTTTAGGAATATCATTAAGGATTGTCAAAGAAGACAAACCTAAATGAATATTTTAAGTAGTACTTTACTTTTTCCTGTCTTGTGATACCTACAGACCTAGCCTCCAAAAAAATAATATTTAAATAATTTCTAGGGGCACCTGGGTGGCTTAGTCGGTTAAGTGTCCAACTTTCGCTTAGGTCATGATCTCGTGGTTCGTGGGTTCGAGCCCCGCGTCGGGCTCTGTGCTGACTGCCAGCTCGGAGCCTGGAGCCTGTTTCAGTCTGTGACTCCCTCTCTCTCTGACCCTCCCCTGCTCATGCTGTCTCTCTCTCTCCTAGAAATAAATAAAACATTAAAAAAATAAAATAAAACCTTTTAAAATAAATAAAATAAATAAATAAATAATTTCTAAAGCAAATTCAAAAGCATATACATAGAAAATATGCCTGAAAAGAATCTTTTGCAGGTGATTTGTTAAACTTTCAATAAATGTGCCATTTACAACCTGTGAAACAAATAATTATATCCACTTGAAGGAAAATCTATCTTTATTATGCTATAGAGCATAATTTATTATATGAAGGAAAAAATTATTTATTATACATACGGAGAAAAATAAGAACACTGCTATTTTTTCTCCAGTGCTTACAGATCATTTCTTATATCTGCTAGTATTACTAGTAGTAGTTAAAGCTTAAACCATACTTCAATTTTATGAACAGGATATAACAATAACAACAACAACAAAAACCCTATAACCTCACCCCTAAATAATTTCTCAGCGAAACCTAAGGACAAATTAAAATACCATATTCAAATATAATTTGTTTTATATTTTATTTCTCTAGAAATAGTTCCTTAAATAATTCTTCCTTCTTACACTTTATGATTTACTTTGAAATGGCTGCAGGCACTGATTCCCACAGGATTCAAGGATATCTAGGTCATGGTAAACATGGTAAACAGGTTACCCACAAGATGGTAGAGGAGTATTTCTTCCCAACTAAGGACCATGTACTGACCCTCTCTCCTTTCCGTAAGCCCCTCTGTTGTCATTTCCTTTGGGCACCAGGCATCCAAGACATGTAATTGCTGGAGAGATGTTAGTGATGAGCTTGAACTAGAACAGCTCGCCTTTTGTTTTTTCCCTACGCAGAAGATGCTTGAAATCTACATCTAAATCAGAAAAAGCCTAAAATCTAAAAGTCAGAAAAACATACTAAATGTGAACACAGTTTTAAATGGTCATCTTCTTCTACATTGTCTTGAACACACATTCAAACCCATACTGAATCCCTCTATGTGATTCTTTTCAGAGCAAAGAGTAAAACAAAGAAAATGTGCTAAAATTTATAGAATCTGTTCCTTTCAAAGTAACTGCGTTTCAGTCTTAGATATATTACTACTTTTTCTAAATGCAGATAAAATCTTAATATTAATGGAAGGTTGCTAAAAGTGAAACCGGATATTCTTGTCTCCTCCCTTTCACATCTAGACAATTAAAAAGTAGAAAGATCAAAGAAAAATTAAATATGATCACTTCCCAAATTGCCTGTAAAATATGAACAGCTTTTATACTCTTTTAAGTGTCTTAAGTAATCTTTTATGTAAATATTAAAAAGCAATCCTGTATATAAATATTACTAAGTCAAGGTGAGTGCCTCATGAAAGACCTGTAATTAGGGCTTCTATCCTCAAGTTCATCTAGATGCCAGACCACTCTCACTACATACACAAAACCTGAAACAAATCTGTTACAAAAAATTAAAAGACATTAAATTGCTTATTCAGCTTTTATACCTCCTTTTATACTTCTCTTCATTTTGATTTTAATGAAGTTTTACATTTTCTGCAATTAGAAAAAAGAGAAAGAAGGGGCGCCTGGGTGGCTTAGTCGGTTAAGCGTCCGACTTTCGCTTAGGTCATGATCTCGCGGTTCGTGGGTTCGAGCCCCGCGTCGGGCTCTGTGCTGACTGCCGGCTCAGAGCCTGGAGCCTGTTTCAGTCTGTGACTCCCTCTCTCTCTGTCCCTCCCCTGCTCATGCTGTCTGTCTCTCTCCTAGAAATAAATAAAACATTAAAAAAAAAAATTTAAAAAAAAAAAAAAAAATAAAAAAAAAAAAAAAAAGAAAAAAGAGAAAGAAGGGAACAAAAAAACACTCCTAAGGAAAAGTAAGAAGATATAACTATAGATGAATGAAGATTTTCTGCTCAGGTTGCATTTTGTACTAAGACACAGGCTTCCGCCTACTTACGTTAGCCTCAAAAGGCCATATCCAAATTTCCAGAATAAATTTTCAGCTCCTAGTGTACCTCACACCACTTCTACATGGAAAAACATTAAAAGGTTTTCTTTTTTTTTTTTTTTTTAAGTAAAATGTTCACTCACCAGATGTCTGAGCTCTTTCAAATCTCGGCAGACAGTATAGAAAACTCCAAGAAGAATATTAATATAAGCAGCATAGAAATCAGCCGAATACTCTGGAGGATGATCATGTGACAAGATCTTCTGAAGGTTCCCTGTTCAAAAGACACAAATGAACTTAAGGACGAACCCAGCACCCCAGTTATATCTTCTAGCATTCTATAACAAAGGAATAAACAATAAATACGCAGGCTCAGCAAATATCAAGGAATAAGAAAAAGATTAGGAGAGTAACACAACTTTTCAAACTAAAGTAAGAGAATTAGGAATCTAATGTTCTTAAAAAATTACAAAGTGTTGCTTAAGACAAATATTAAACAATGACATCCAAGAAAATCTCAACAACCTCTGCAAGCAAAATCAGTACCAAAGGCGAAAAATAATACATATTCTATTCATTTTTCTGCCATACTCTGATTTCTCTTCATATCGTATAAATCTTTTGCCTTTTACTATTTATTTTTCTGTCTAATAAGTACAGTAGAAAAAACAAGGGGTACTATATAAATGACCACCAAACTGGAAAATTAAGTTTTCTTCCTAAAACTTTGGTATCTTTATTTTTCTTCTCTTATATCTTAAACTCTTTATTCAATATCACATGTTCAGAGTCCTAAAGTTTAGTTTATCCTGCTAGAAATACCATATTGTAGAAGCACAGTTAAAGTTAAACAGAAACAACCACCCACTATTCAAAATCTCCCAGGTATAGTACTGGGAATCAATTAGTCATTCGTTCCTTACTACACTTCTCTCTGACTCCTTGGTGCAATGGTCTCTTTAGACTCCTCAGTTAGGATTTCTTTGATTGTGACCAATACTTTAAACCTAGTTCCACAGGTTCAGGATCTTTGCAATACTTACAAGTAAAGAGAAACTTAGATAGAGCTATATTAAGGAGCTCTTTTTTAGATAAGGCTATTGACCAAAAAACCAAAACACAGCAGCACATTTCAAAGCCCAGTTACATGCATGGAATATTATCTTGAAAGGATTCTGTATGGGAGACTATTACTAGATGCATTTTTCTATCACAACTACTGAAAAAAAAATACACAAAGTCCAAAACTTGACTTTGGAGTCTATGTATTTTTACATTCTAATAGGACATTTTAAATTTAACGTTACTAAGGTTTTTAAAACTATGCATGGGAAAATATTCGATACAAGGAAAATTTCTAAAAGGTGTCTTAAAACTCAGAACTAAAAATATCTGTACATACAAGATGCTAAATAACTGGCTAGAAAGAAGAAAGGAGAAGAGAAGGAAAGAGAAAGGATGGATAGTGAGACATATGCATACACACAGGGGGAAAAGATGGTCTACAGATGTATGGATGAGGAAATCTGGAAAACAGGTCTCCAGCTCAGACTGCATTCCTAAGCTCCTCCAGACCATCTCTTCCTAGATACCCCTTATTGGTGACCCTCGGCACCTCACGTGAAAGTTGATTAGATGCTACCACTGGCCCAATCTTGACAAAAGTCTTAAGAAGAATGAGAGATCTCACTGTGTTGCTGTAAAAGTAGACCAACTGCTTAGTTAGACTACAGACAAAATTAGAGTTCAAGTCTACATTATGGAAGCTCTAATTGCCTGAGGGTATTCAAACTTCTGGAAAAATCCATCTCTAATGGAAAGCTGAAAACAGTGCACAAACAGGTAGTAAATAAAGGGAAGGAGAAACCACTTGATTGGTCTCCTCTTCTCTTAAAATTTCACTATCAAAAGTATAATTTAACACACAAAAAACAACCATTTCTAACTTGAAGAGGAACTTCAGCTTCTAGCCATGAAAAAGTTAAGAGTCCAGAAATACTCTCCTGTAATAAACTAAAAATGGACAAAATGTAGAAAAACACTATTTTCAGACATCAAACAATAGGCAATAAAGGACTGTGATACCTGAGAAAAAGGAAACAAATGAGCCATCAGCCACGCTAGACTTTCTAACAAGAGGTAATTTTAGAACTGCAGAACAGGAAAAGTTTCAAAAGGAGCCATTAATCTCAATGAATTGGGAAGACAAAGATCAGAGTAGAGCAAACTAAGGTTGCTAGAATTTGCAGGATAGAGTACTAGAGAGAAAAGAGTTATGGAGAGAAAGAGCTCCAGAAGTCTCCATAGTGGCTCCCCTTCACTCTTGTCTGAATACCAATCTGTATACACACCAAGTAAAACCCCATAGGCCAAGCAAGAACAACTTCCAGAGTAAAACAATTAGTGGAGAGTTGTCAGTCAATTATCAGTGCTCACACAGAACTATAAATCATTCATACTGCCACCAGTCAGAATGAAGAAACATGTGCTTTCAGTAAAGATCCCAGAAGGGCTATGTCTTAGAAGTAGAGCTAAAATAACCATTGGAATAAAGGCTACTCTAGAGCATACCTCCAAAAAAGCTTAAAAATAACCTTAAAAGAGGCAGATACATTTTCAAGAAACTTAAGTCTTTCCTAGAAAAGTGTCCAACACACAGCAATGAAAAACACAGCATTCTTCAATCAAAAATTACTAAATACACAATTAATACCCATAATAGGTAAAAATCAGTCAACATCAATAAACCCAAAATGAAAAAGGTTATGGAATCAATAAACAAGAATATTAAGACAACTATTGTAAACATGCTCATAATCTCAAAAAGAAAACAAAAGCATAATCTGTTTTTGACATCTGTAATGAAAAATTCCACTGGATGGGATCTAACTGCAGCTTAGACACTTATACGAAAAAAGTCAGTGAGCTTAAAGACATAGAGAAAAAAATATCCCAGATGAAACACAAAGAAGAAAGGTTTATAATTTAAATAAGTAAAAAGATTCAGTGAGACAATATCAAGGGATCTAGCATACATGTAATGCAATCTCAGGAAAAGGCAAGGAAAGGAGGTGGGGGGAACAAAGAAAATATTTGAAGAAATAAGGACTGAAAATTTTCCAAAGTTGATGAAACTGTACAGTCATATATCCAAGAAGCTCAATATATCTCAAGCAGGATAAACAATAAAAGATTTTTTTATTTTTTATTTTTAATATTTTTTTATTTATTTCTAGGAGAGAGAGAGACAGCGTGAGCAGGGGAGGGTCAGAGAGAGAGGGAGACACAGACTCTGAAATAGGCTCCAGGCTCCAAGCTGGCAGTCAGCACAGAGCCCGACGCGGGGCTCGAACCCACGAACCGCGAGATCATGACCTAAGCGAAAGTCGGACGCTTAACCGACTAAGCCACCCAGGCGCCCCAAAGATTTTTTATTTCGTTCAAGTCCAAATAATAATTTAATATGGGGTTTATAATAAATGTATAAGTAAAACATAAGACAACAACAGCACAAAGGTTGTGAGGTGGGAAACTATAAATCGCTGGGATTTTTAGATTGTTTACTGGAGCATAACTTATCCTGAATGATACAGTAACCAAACCATATCAAAAACCTGATAAAGTGAATTATAATCCACCAGAAGGGAGAAAAAAATGCTTTACCAAAAGATAAGTAGTCTGTATGTGGTAGAGATCGGAAAACAAGAATTCCAAACTGGGCCTCTAGACATTACTGCTGAGAGGAAAGGGCATCTTGAGCTTGAAACCCCATTCTTACAGATGGTATGTGTACCAAGTTATGATTGGATAACATTAGCCACTAAGATTATTCCTATGTTCCTATTCCATGCTTACTCTAATTTGGCTTATCAATTAATGTTCCCTTTTTGAATGACTTTTTGTGTAATTACTGGGCTTTGCTTTTTAAAAAAATCTTGATATACAGAAGGCTCTAAATTAAATAATCAGATTATACATGGCTCCATAATTACTTTTCAAAAACCTATTAACCTACGCTCTCTGAAATTGGCACAATCACTGTAATTAAATACATCCTCAAATTCTCTCCATCAATGAGCCTTCATATCTTTACTTTCTAAAATTTTAAATAAAATTCTATAGTTCCTTATACCATACTTTAATACTTCAATAAGACACAGATAACCAGCTTTTTAAAAAATACTTTTCTTAAATTCTAAATTATTTTTCAGTACAGGACACCTGGATGGCTCAGTTGGTTAAGCATCTGACTTCAGCTCAGGTCATGATCTCATTTTCTGTGAGTTCAAGCTCTGCGTCACTCTGTGCTGACAGCTTGGAGCCTGGAGCCTGCTTCAGATTCTGTGTCTCTCTCTCTCGTTGCCCCTAGCCCACTCACGTTCTGTCTCTGTCTCTCAAAAAATGAATAAATGTTTAAAAAAATTTTTTTAATCTTTAATTTTTCAGTACTTAAATCTAACACGGGCCATGAAAGAAGTTAATTGAACAGTGATGACACAGGTACAAAGGAATTTTTTTAATGAAATTCTTTGATTAATTCCTTTTCTTCCTACCCTCCTCTCTTCCCTATTTTGCAATTTTCATGGAAGAGAAACTATTGAATATAAGGGCTCCTTTCATCTATTCTGGGTTCCTTTTTTCTATCTCAGTTAATTAGCTAATGCAAGGTGTTATTTGATTGCTGTTCTTGTGAAAACAGAAAAAAATGTGTTTATCTTAACAATGAATGTTTGCAGCTGATTAGTTCAGAGGCTAGTGTTAATGAGGCCAAGGTCAAGAAATGCTATTTTTTCATACCCTGCTAACCACTTTATGCTTCACATTTATAAACTCTGAGTCAGAAGTATCTTGTTTGCACAGTGACAACACAATACTAATCTACAAAACTATTCAGCAACACAAAAAGCTACCATGTTCTTCCAAAGACAAAAATAATTAAGATCTATGAAATTTAAGATTAAATACAAACCAAAAGAAATAAGCACAAGGCCTAGTAGTTGGTACTGTAAGAGAAATAATAATGAAAAATGAGATTTACAAAGTCAAAAGATACATTCCACATAACACTTAACCCAAGTACATGGTAAATAAAGATTTTATACAATTTAAATGTGCTCTGCCCACCTAGTCTGATGCTTACTTTGTATGGATGTTACAATCTTAATATATACATCTTACTATACTGACTAAAAAATGTGAAAATACACCATTAACACAAATAGGTGAGAAATACTCATTCAAAACTTTTTAATAACTATATAAGAATAATCTCTCATGGTTCCAAAATAAAACCTCTATAAGTACATACACATTTTTGAGATTGGCAATCTGAAGACAATAAGACATCAAAATATTCCTATTTGAAATATGCAAGCTTAATCTTTCAGAGAACAAGAAGTATTTTAGTGAATATCATTTGTCAAAACAAAGTTTTAAAATTTACCTATGCTGTAATCAGGGAAATACAAGACAAATGGCTCAAAGCACCCCGTATTTGGACGAAACTTTTCCCAAACAATTTCACTGAGAAAGAGAACAGTCACATTTCTGTCAGTCTGTAAAAGAAAGAAAAATAAAAGCAACTTTGCATTTAAAAATCTTAATCAGAGCAGCAATTCCATTTGAATTTTTCTTTCAAATAAATCCAGCAAAGTTACAACATATAACAAATTATTTGCATATTAATAGATCTTATTTCAAAACCCTAATCAAGGAGTTCATCCACTTGCAAATCTTCATACATAAATACTTAGAATTTCCATAAAACTTTTAGGTTAATGGACATTTCGGTTACCCATGAATGCTAGGACAGTCACACAAGGGTTTATTTCATAGAAATTAAGAAACACATTTGCTTAATAATAAAGATCTTTTTATAGGAATTTTTACTGAAATCATTAGCTTTCCATCAATAAGCAAAAAACATACAACTTAACATCTCTCATCATTAAAATAGCTACAGCAACCCTGAGAGGAAATAAGAGTTGAAGGAAAACAGAAATGCCATCCCACAGAACCACAAAATTAGGATATTTTGTTTTTTTAAGGTTATGTTCATAAAAATTATTGAGCAAAATATGAATACACATTAAAAACATTAAGTATACACATAAAACACTGATGTGATGACTGTTTAGAATGTATTACCCATACACAAAAACAAACACTAAGAATACAAGCTCAACATTTATGCTGTCCTCCAGAATAGCCACAAATGTCCTATGCATGCTAGTTTGAATTAATCTGTAGACAGACTTCTGCATTTTCAACACAAATTTTAATTTTTCCCCATGCTTTTTTTGACATCCCCCAAGGTGACAGCAGGCATGATAGCTGTTTTGTTCTGCAACTATACTTAGGATCCAATCACATAAATTATTCTATACTCTGATAGTGGTTTACTATTTATTGATTCCTAATTTATACATAATCTTATATTCCAATTTGGATTACTTAGAAAAACATTCTTTTGGCTAAAAAAGAAGACTGAGTTCAATAAATTCATAATTCCACAAAAATCTAGCATCTTTATGAAAAAGAGGAAAAGATTACTACTTTCAAATGTTTTTTATCTTATAAACTCTTTAAGTTTTAAGAATCCTTGAATTTACTTCTATGGGGATAAAAAAAGGATGCTCTAAATACAATCCTGAATGCAAAGCATTAAAGTTGTTTTGCTTTAAAAAATGATTATCTAAAAGCATTTGATAAAATCAGTTCAAAAATAGAGAGGCCTAAAAAATAGAAGATATTTATCCACCTAAAAGTATTATAAGTTGCTAGTGTTCTCAACTGTTAAAGTACCTTCAATATACAATATCATAACTTAATTTTACTCATATACATTAACACAGAAAACATGAAATGCCTTTACTGTATTTCTCCTAAATGAAATACATTTTTAAAAATCAACCATGTTTCCAGCAGTATCAAAGCAACACTTCCCTTTTCTGGTAAGGTTGAGATTACTGTGAATCTTTTAATTTTCTTCAGTTTCCATAATTACAACTAAGAAAATGGAGGGGGTAAAGGACTAACTCTGAAGAAGGGATGCACAATGACCATGACTGGGCATGAGGGGGAAACTGAGGTAAGCTATGGTGTAAGAGCAGAGGACAGCAAGAATGTACTTGGAAACCAGACAAGGAATCCCAGGGCAATGAGGACAGTGGATGAAGTCATACAAATAATCCACAAATGCAACACAACAAAACAATAAAAAGAAGTGAAGAAGAAGGCATCTAATCAAAGAAGATGAGTTGCCGGTCTCAGTAGTAAAGTGCCAAGAGTTAATCAAACTAGCAAAGGCTAGACTGTAGCAAATAAATTTCCAGGATAGGCTACCAAGAGCTACACTAATTCTCTTCCTGTCTTCTGACATCTCACCCCTGCCCAATACTATTACTAAAAGTGAATTTTAGGGGTGCCTGGGTGGCTCAGTTGGTTAAGTAACCAACTTCAGCTCAGGTCATGATCTCATGGTTTGTGAGTTCGAGCCCCGCATCGGGCTCTCTGTTGTCAGCACAGAGCCTGCCTGGTTTCCTCTGCCTCCCTCTCTCTCTGCCCCTCCCCTGCTTACACTCTCTCTCTCAAATATAAATAAAAACATTACAAAAATAAAAAAATAAAATAAAAATAAAAGTGAAGTTTAGGAATTGACCTTAGGCACATAATGATTTCAGTGGCACTTGGAAAGCCTCTCTTAACTTCTGACTGTTTCTCAAATTTCAGTAATATGTTCAGTAAATGTTCAACTTTTCAAAGGTGGAAATGCTGTAAACACGGTCTCTCCAAATATTAACTTTTATTATAATGTTACCTAATACTTAAATAAAGACATAAAACTAGGTAGGTATAAGCTATTTATGCTCTAAGCACTTATAGAATTATAAAAGAAAAATAAATTTGTTAGTTAAATACAAAACTACAAAATCAATAAAATTTAAACAGTGATTGAATATGATTAACAATGCTGTTTTGCTCAAACTAAATCTTTGCTTACTTCATACTTATGGTACAAATAAGCAACAGCCACAGTTCTTTTGAGGTTAGCTTTCCTATACCCAATTTTCTTTATTCAAACTACTGTAAAACCCTGCTTTTGCCATATTATTATTAGGTTTGACCTGACACATATGCATGTTAAGTTCATCCCTATTCTCTTCTTATTACTCCACAACAATTAGAGTAGTATTACTACTATTCAGCACCAACACAATTATAAATTCAAATACAAAGCTGGTTCGGACACTGACTAGCCAAGAGATAGACTCCAGATTACCCAAAACAGACCTACCTTTAGACTACTAATTCTGTAGATTACTCAAAAGAAAATTTTAAAATTCTTACAGAAAGTTTAAAGTCTAGGCCCCCACCAACTACTTCAGCAAACAACTAAAAGCTTTTAAAAGAGCAAGGTTAGTCATTTCACAATTAGAAATAAAAAGCGAAAATAAAGAAAGAATAAATGCTACCAAGTCACAAACTGCTTTTAGTTTGGAAAAATGTTCAATAACATTCATAATAAAGAAGTGCAAGTTAAATTATGTTAAGATTCGTCTCTCACCTGTCAGATTGGCAAAAGGAAAATATCTGACAAGACAATCAATTGATTAGGTCATAGGGTGAAAAGACTCATACATTACTTACCAATTCTTGTAACCTAAGAAACCCAGGCAAAAGATTTGCTTCCATATCTCTTAGATATTCTGCTTTGTCTAGAACCTAATTTAAAAAAAAAAATACAGTGTCAAAATCAATTTACAAAGCCTTCTACAAAACATTTACATAATATACTGCACAATTCAAGATGTGAATTTTCTATGTTAAAAAGAAAAATTGTAACCTAGGAATTAATTTTCAAACGGTATTTACATTTGTAGAAGACATTCAAATAGGCCAAATTAGTAAAATAAAAAATAGACTACTTATATCATATTTTAACCGAAGTTTCTAAACAGAAAATGAATCACAGTTACATTAAACAGGTTTCTTTTATAGGTATATTATCAGTACTCTAAGGATATCTTACTAGGTATACAAGAAACACAACTGGATGCATTTTTTATTCTATTTGATAAAAGTTACATTTTGTTCAGTTATGATAACACTATTAGGATTATATTATATATATATTATTTTAAAAGACATAATATACATAGTATATGTAGATCTAGCACATATTCATGGATATATGATATAGAGAGAATGTATATATATATTTATGGATAACATAACACAGGAAACAATGAAGGGATAAAGATAAAGGGTCACACAGGTGTGACCACATGTTAATAATACTTGAAGCTGGATGATGGGTTCACTAGAGTATATTACACTATTCTCTTTATATGTTTGAAATTTTGATAAAACATGTTAAAAAAAGTTACTTCAAGAAGTCATCCATTAGTCCATAAAAACAAAAATCAAGGTCTTCAAAGCATTGTCTAAAATATTGAATCTATTTAATCTAACCTTTGTTTTTACTTTTTGTTTTACTTTTTGTTTTTTCTATCCACCTCCACTTTTCTCCTCTACCATCTTGCTGGATTATGTTAAAGCGAACCCCAGACATAACTATTCCATCCATAAATATGTTATATGTAGATCTAAGATACGAAGACTTTTTTTAAAAAACATAACCTCAGTATCATTATCATGCCTAAAAAATTTAACAATACTCCTTAATGTCATCTAATAACTAGTACTCATATTTCCCCATTTGTCCCACAAATGTCTCCTTAGAGTTCACTTATTTGATTCAGGATCCAAAAAGGTTCATAAGTTGAATCTTATCATATTTGGTTTGTCTTCTAGTCAATTTTAAATTAGTAACATTTCCCCTGACTCTTCATTTGTTTGTTTGTTTTGTTGTTATATATTCAATGAAGTAAAGAGGTCATCTGTTGTGTAGAATTTTCCATATTCTGAATTGGATGACTGCATCTCTGTAGTGTCATTTAACATGTTCCTATATCCCCTATATTTCCTGTAAAATAGTTGATAAATCTAGAGGTCTGATCAGATTCAGGTTCAACTTTTGGGCAAGAATACTTCACAAATAGTGCTCTATATTTCTTACTGAATCACATCAGCAGAAACACAATACCTGACTCTCTTTTTCTGACATTAAGATTGATTGACAGTTTCAGGTATTCTCAGCCTGATCCATCCATTATAAAGTTCCCCAGCAGCCTTTCAGCAAATGATTTCAATTGATTATCCCTGCCTATGTATTAGGGACTGCAAAACTATAATTTTCTAAGATTCTTTCTTCACTTATTGAAGGATGTTTTTCTAGAAAGAATTTTTCCTCATCTGTTACTTAGTTACTCAGAAATAAAGTTCACAGAGGACAGAAGGGATATATGCTTGATTCTTTCCTTTTATCTACCAACTTCCAAAATAAGTTTGTGCCTCTGTGGTTGCTGTAACACATCATCACACAAACGTGGTGGCTTGAAACAGACTAAAAATTTATTCTCTCACAGATCTGGAAGCTGTAAGTCTGAAATCAGTTTCATGGGGCCCAAATCAAGGTTTCTGAAGGGCCACACTCCCTCCAACAGCTCTAGGGTACAATCCATTCTTTGCCTCTTCCAGCTTCTGGCAGTTGCCAGTATTCTTTGGCTTGTGGCTGCAACACTTCTCACTTACTTTGCGTGTGTGTGGTTTAATCAAATCCTCCTACACAAACATTTGTGACTGCATTTTGGGCTCACCCAGATAAACCTGATACATTTCCCCATCTCTAGATCCTTAACTTAATCACATTTCCAAAGGCTCTTTTTCCAAGGGGCCATTTATAGGTTCTAGGGATTAGGACCTGATATCCTCAGAGGCCATTATTCAGCCTAGTCCTAGCAAATGAAATTCTCATGGTAACCAATGAGCTGAGGTTTTGTGGTTTTTATCTGCTTGTTTAGTATCATTACGAATGCATGGATTTTAACACATCTGTTGTGCTTCCATCTACTGAATTGATCGTTCTTTTCGATGGCCAAACCGTACCATGTTTGGCCACTGGAAGCCTCTTCAAAGTAGCTTCTGGGTCCTTTTTGTCTCCGCAGCTTTGAAATGTAACTGACATATAACACTGCAAAATTTACAGAACACGATGTGTCAATCTGATATAATTATATACTGCAAAAGGATTTCCACCATAACTTTGGCTGACATTTCCATCACTTCACATAATTATTTCTTTTTCATGGCAAGGCCATTTAAGATTTATTCTACTCTCTTAGCAACATTCAAGTATATATAACACAGTATAGCATTAACTATAATCACCATGTTGTACATTAGATTCTCTAGAACTTATTCATCTTATAACTAGAAGTTTGTATTCTTTGACCAACATCTCTCCATTTCCTTTACCCCACAGTCCCTAGTAACCATTTTACTTTGCTCCTATGAGTTTGGCTTTTTAGATTCCACATATAATTGTCTCTGCCTGACTTAGTTCACACAGCATAATGCCCTCAAGGTCCATCCATGTTGTCACAAACGGCAGGATTTCTTTCTTTCTCATGGCTGAACAATATTCCATTGTGTGTGTATGTATACATATATACACATATAGATATGTACACATACACATATATGTATATGTACACATATGTACATATATGTACGCATACACATATATATGTATACACACACACACACACAAACATCTTCTTTATCCATTCATCCACTGAAGGCCACTTAGGATGTTTCTATGACTTGGCTATTGTGAATAAAACTGCAATGAACATAGGAGTGCAGATATCTCTTTGACACCCTGATTTCATCTCCTTCATCTATATACCCAGAAGTGGGATTGTGGAATCATATGGCAGTTCTATTTTTAATGTTTTAAGGAACATTTATACTGTTTTTCTTTTTTTTTTTAATTTTTTGATGTTTTATTTATTTCTGAGAGAGAGAGAGACAGCGTGAGCAGGGGAGGGTCAGAGAGAGAGAGGGAGACACAGAATCCGAAACAGGCTCTGAGCTAGTTGTCAGCACAGAGCCTGATGTGGGGCTCGAACCCATGAACGGTGAGATCATGACCCGAGCCAAAGTCAGACGCTTAACCGACTGAGCCACCCAGGCACCCCTATACTGTTTTTCTCATAGTGGCTATACCAATTAACCTTCCCAAGAACAGTGCACAATGGTTCCCTTTTCTCCACATTCTCACCAATACTTATCTCTTGTCTTTTGAATGACAGGCATTCTAACAGGTTTGAAGTGATATTTCATGGTTTTGATTTGCACTTCCTTGATAATTAGTGATGTTGAGCACCTTTTCATGTACCTGTTGACCATCTGTATGTCTTCTTTGGAAAAATGTCTATTCAGGTCTTCTGCCCATTTTCTAACCAGATTTTTTATTTTTTTACTATGGAGTTCTATGAGTTCTTTATTTATTGGATATTAATCCCTTGTTCAGCAGATGATTGCAAGCATTTTCTCTCATTCTCTAGAATGCCTTTATTTTGGTGATTATTTCTTTTGCTGTGCATAAGTGTTTTAGTTCAATGTAGTCCCACTTATTCTCGCTTCTGTTGCTTACACTCTTGGTATCATATTTTATTTTTTTTTTTTAATTTTTTTAATTTTAATTTTTTTATTTTTATTAAATGTTTTATTTATTTCTAGGAGAGAGAGAGAGAGACCGCGTGAGCAGGGGAGGGTCAGAGAGAGAGGGAGTCACAGACTGAAACAGGCTCCAGGCTCCGAGCTGGCAGTCAGCACAGAGCCCGACGCAGGGCTCGAACCCTCAAACCGCGAGATCATGACCTAAGCGAAAGTCGGACGCCCAACCGACTAAGCCACCCAGACGCCCCACTTGGTATCATATTTTAAAAGCTGTTGCCAAGACCATTGTCAAGGAACATTTCCTCTATTTTCCCCCCCTAGGAGTGTCATGGTTTCAGGTTTTATACTTAAATCTTTAATTCATTTCAAGTTAATTTTTGTGCACGGTGTAAGACAAGGGTCTAACTTCACTCTTCTGCAGGTGGTTATCCAGTTTTCCCATCACCATTTACTGAAAACACTAGCCTTTCTTCAATGAGCACTCTTGGCTCCCTTGCCAGATATTAGCTGACTTTATATATATGGGAAGGTTTATTTCTGTGTTCTCAATTCTGTTATATTGGCCAATGTGTCCACTTTTATCCCAGTACCATACTGTTTTACTATACCTTTTCAGTATAGTTTGAAATTAAGAAGTATAATGTCCCAAGTTTTTTTTTTTCTTTCCCAGCTTTGCTTTGGCTATTCCATCTTCTGTGATTCCATACAAATTTTAAGATCGTTTTCTCTATCTCTGAGAAAAATGTCATTGGAATTTTGATAGGGATTGCACTGATTCCTATAGATGGCTTTGGGTACTACAAACATTTTAACAATATTAATTCTTTCAATACATGAGCTTCTGTGTCTTTTTGAAATGACCCTAATTGTAGATGAAGTTTCCTAGCTTTCTATTATAGCAAAATGTTCTAGATTTATCTTGTACATTTTCTTCTCAGAACTGAAGTAAAGAAAGTTGGGGTCTTTTTTAAAAAACATTTACACTTTATTAATAAATCCTACTGGAAATTATAATCATTTAAATTAGGAATAAAATTAAAATGCAAAGAATGTGATATTGTTTCCCTAAGTAGTCCCAATTGTTTTGTAACTGTTTTATTAATTAATAGACAGCCTGTAATCAACTTAAGATATTTCATTCCTAATTAGACAAAATAAAGCTAAAATTATTTATTGCTAAAAAGATATAAATTAGTTTCTCTACTATGCAATTATGCAATTTCCCCATCAATCTCCATTTAAATAACTCTCTCATCCAGGACACAGATTAATACAAATAAATGGTCTGTTTTTATGCCCATTTTAATGCAAAACACAAGGCTGAAGCTGTAAATTAATAGTTCATTCTTCTAATTTAATTTAGTTAACCCACTCTAATTAATGATCCTTCTTCAAAAGCAATTATCAGATAACTAATATTCAGAGAAGTAAAAACTTTAATTCAGATTTAAACATTTATCTTAATAATTTACACAAAAGCATTCTAATAGACTCTTGATTTGCAACCCGGTTTATTGACTAGAAAATATTTTCAGCCACCTTTCTTTATTTCTTAAGTATTGAATCTTACCAATTCATATATTAGAAGGCTAAACAGTCTATAGATGTACTCTTAAAATGTTCCACACTAAGCACCTGCAAACTTTTTCACACTTAATGTTTAGTCAATTAATAAGTACTTACTAAATACCTACTTTTATCCGTTGAATCTGAAAATATGAGTAGGGTCCTACTTATTTGTCAAGGCCATTCCTAAAATTATTTTTTTAAGTTTTATTTAAGTAATCCCTACACCCAATATGGGGCTTGAACTCACAACCCTGAGATCAAGAGTTTGCATGCTCTTCCAACTGAGCCAGCCAGCTGTCCCTGTTCCTACAATACCGATTTTTTCCTCCTACCTAAAGACATTCAGCTTTGCAACTCTCCTTGTTGTCATCCACATGTACTGAGGTCATTTCCTCTCATTCTTTAAATATTACAGTTTCTTACTAATACGTCTCTAATATAACTCCTATATTTTTTGGATATTTCAAAACCCACATTAATGACCCCCTTCTGATATGGACTCTTAATTCATTAAATTCCTCACCACTAGTGATTTTGTCTCCTACCTTATCTCACTGAAAGACCAACTTATTTCTTAGAACATCGGTTTCGGGGGTATATATGATCTGTGGCCCTCTGGGGCTGCGAAGGATGGTCTCTGATACCCTTTCAAAAGGTTGGCAAGGTCAAAAGTATTTTCATAATAATACTGAAATATTATTTGCCTTCTTCACCATGTTGATATTTGCATTGATGGTGCAAGTAATGGCGGGTTAAACTAGAGTTGCTTTAGCATAAATCAACATAATGTTGTGAAACTGTATCAGCTGTATTCTTCACTATGCACTTGCATTTTAAAAGAAATTAGATTTCCACCTCTGAGAAGATGGAGTAGATATCTTTTTCCTATTCCTCTTGAGTAAAACTAAGAATCTCGAATATTATATATAAAACAAACAGGGTTCTATAGGCAGAGAGAAGGCAGACCCACTTGGGACCTCAAGAATGGAGGAATGACCAATTCACCTCAGAGAGTATATCTTTTTGCCGCACACAGCCCCATATGCGGAGTTGAAGAAGCCAGCAACACAGAAAGTCTAATGAAAATAAACCAAAAAAAACCCCATCAAAACCCTGCTCTCCCTAGTCATAGGACCAAAAAAGAGAGAGGCTAGCAAGACTGCCATAACTGCAACTTTCCCAAGTTTTCTCTATACATCACTGACTTCTCTGTCCTCATTTGTTTTTCATCTCCTCGTTTATTTTTCCTCACCTCCTCATCCCATAACCAATGGGTTGTCTCACGACTCAGGCATTTGACTCGCCTCTTTTCTAACTCACTCACCCTCTTGGTGAGCTAATAGCCCCACAACTTTAAGAACTACAACCTGTAGGGGCATCTTGGTGGCTCAGTTGAGTGTCCAACTCTTAACTGGGCTCAGGTCATGTTCTCACAGTTCGTGGGTTCAAGCCCCAGACTGGGCTCTGTGCTGACACTGTAGAGCCTGCTTGGGATTCTCTTTCTCTCTCTCTCTCTCTCTCTGATCCTCCCCTGCTCTTTCTCTCTCAAAAAATTTAAAAAAAAAAAACAACACTACTACCTCTATTCTCACAACTCCAAAATTGTATCTCCACTATGGACCACTCTTGACCCAAGACTCCAGTGTCCAAGTGCCAAATGAACACCTGTACTTGATTTAACATGCCCAAAGCCAAACTCCTCATCACTCCTTCCCTACCCAACAAGACCTCATCTGCTGTAGTTTCCTCCACTAAGATAATGACAACTCCATCCTTTCAAGTGCACAAAAACTTCTGAGTCATCCTTAACTTTGTTCTTTCTCTCCTCCTCTATATTCAATCTATCAGAAAATTCTGTCAAAATATATCCAGACCCCTTCTTACCACATCAACTGCTACCAGCCTGCTCTAAGCCAACTTGTTTTGCCTAGATTATCATAAATGCCTCAGAACCAGCTATAGTAGTTTCCTACAGCGGCCATAAGAAAGCACTACCAACAGGGTGACTTCAACAACACAAATTTATTATCTCACAGTTCCAGAAGCTAGAAGTCCAAGATCAAGGTATTGGCAGGGCCATGCTTCCTCCAAAGGTGCTAGAGGAGGAACTGTTCCAGATTTCTCTCCTGGTTTCTGGCAGTCCCTTGGCCTGTGGCAGCATACCTCCAATCTTTATGTGGCATCCTCCCTATGTGCGTGTCTTATCTCCAAATTTCCTCTTTTTATAAGGACACCAGTCATACTAAATTAGGGACCCAAACCACTTAACTTCATCTTAATTAGAACTGCCATGACCCTATTTCCAAATAAGGCCACATTCTGAGGTACTACGGTTGAGAACTTCAGCATGTGAATTTTTGGAGGAAACAATTCAACCCGTAATGCTAGTCTGCATGCTTCTATGCTTGCACCCTTCATTAGATTCTCAACATTACCAATCTCCCCCTTACTTAAACTAGCCCAACCACAATGGCCTCCTTGGTGTTCTCTGAATACACAAAGCATGTTCCAGCCTTTGTACTCTTATGTTCATCTCTTTGCCTGAATACTCTTTTTTCACATATCTTCATGGCTTTCTCCTCACTTCTTTCAGGTTTTAGCTCAGTTATCATCATCTCAGTGAGATCTTCTCTATTTAGAAAAATTAATTGATTCTTCTTTACTCTATTAGCTTATTATATCCGACATACTACTATTAACTTACTTTTCATCTATCTTCCTCAACTACACTATAAACTGCAGGAGGGCAAGGGACTCTAATTTGTACCATGTTCTAGCTCCAGTATTTAAAACAGTGCCTGGCATATGGGAAATGCTGAATAATTACTTGCTGAGTAAATAAATGAATGAAATGAAAATGTGGAAGGAACTATTTTATACATTTCAGGAGATGCAAGAATCCATAAGATTTGGTCTCTTCAGTGAGTTTACAACTTAGCAGTTTTGATAAGGCATTATATTAAAACTTAATTCCAATTCCAGAGGTAATCATTTTTTTAAAAAGGATTAAAGTATTATAAAAAATCCACTAAAATAAAAATAGTATACACTTTCAGGTGTCTGCTAATCATTTTCACATTAATGTAACAACTAACAGTTCAAACTTAGCCAAACAAAAATCAAGTGATTCATCTTTTCTCACAAACCTACTCCAGACATAGCTGAAGAATTTGACAGTCGCTGTCTCTTCCATTATTCCTTTCTGCATCTTCTGCCCCAAGTCTAATCCGGGCCCAAATTTCCTCTAGTTGAAACAGCTATAAGAGCCTGAAAACCATTCTTTTAGACCTGAGTCTGTCATCACCGTTCCCTCTCCATCTATTTAGCCTGCTTTCCATGTTAAACATATTTGCTGCTCTAAAATCAGCACTACCTCCTCACTGTCCAGTACATGAAATAAAGCACTTTAGTAGAGTTTTCAAGACACTCTTTTTTCTGCCTCCCCTACCTCCCTAGCTTTTTTCTCCTTTCATACATTATTACCCACTAAACCTAGACTATTTGCATTCCCTAGCTTCCACTGATCTGCATGCCTTTCCTTACATAATTCCTAACATCTAAATTCCCCTTCTTCAGTTTCATCCTATAATCCCCTAACTATCCTTTTAGGTCTATCTCTAATGCTATCGCCTCATGAAGCTGTACCATATATGCCTTCATCAGTACTCTGCATCTCATGGTTATCACTTATCACACTCACGCATGATCAAACGTAGTATATGTCACAACTCCTCCATTACACTGAAGTTCCCTTTGGATAAAAAAATACATCTAAAACATTTCTGTATCCCAAAAGCCCCTTACACAGTGCACCATACACAATGAGACTCAAAACAAATATACAGGAATTGACCTAATAAAGAAACCAACTTTCAAATAGATGGTATAAGGAAATTAAATTACTTACAATATATACAGTCTGATCCTTGAGACTTTCAGCTTTGGTTACTTGTTTAAACAAGCGAACAAAATCATTAAATGTTTCACAGGTTATGTGGGTAGAACATTGATCTTCTGAAGAACTAAGATGATTCAATTTGTTTAAAATTTGTTCCAAGAGCAGCCTCAAGGTAAAACATTCAACACAATTCACAAAGACATGTGGGAGCTGAAAACAAAAACAAAAACAAAACAAGCAAAAAAAGTGTAAACATAAGAGAAAACACGCATATCCAGTAACAGCTCTGCTGGATGTTCTCCACTTGTCCTTCTCATCTACTCCCCCCACTCCCCGGCCGTTCCCCAACCTGCTCTGTGCCCCAGGAGGCTAGCCACTATAGACGGTATCATCCAGACTCTCGTATTTTCTGGCTCCAGTTGGATTCAGCCAATGAGAAGAACCAGGAGCCCGAAGGAAGTGGTAACAGAGAGAAAATGAATATTCCCTTGCCTCACACCCACAGTTCTATCATGGCTACATTCTTCTACCAAAGGTCACAGCTCTAGTGGAGCAGCTCCTCATCTAAAGCGACAGCTCTTGCTGTGATCTGGTAACAGCTCCCTCCTGTGGTCCACTCAGATCTAGGGAAGGCAAAAGCTCTCAGTGCTTTACCATCCCTTATTGATTCCCTTAACATTTCTTCAATCTCTGTATAATAGTATCTTCATTAAACTCACTTCAATTATTTGAGTTTGCCATTTGTTTCCTATAGGGATTCAGAGCAAATCTGTGCTTCCCTCTAAAGAATTCTTACCAAAAAAACCTAATATGTGTTAAAATTCTTAGTAGGAATTTCATACTAATTTTAAGATAATATTCTAATGATGAACAAACCTAAATAAAAAAGAATTTTAAGAGTTTAAAACCACAGTAATCCTCCTATGAGGATTAAGCTAGCTCTTCATTCAAAAATCAAAATGGAGGTAATTCCAGAAGTAACAAGGAAACAAAGACTTGCTTAAAAGTACAGTCTGTTCTCAAAATAAAATCACAAAATCAGTATTGATCATTTTGAGGAAGATAACTTTTGGCATCTGGCACAAATAATGGGACGTATAACTATTTTTAGTGATGTTCCACAAATCTCACCCAAGAAGGAAGCCTTTCTTTATCTTTCAGAGTAACAATGTAACTAAGGCTACCTTACACTTCTTATAAGGCTTCTTTTACCCTATTCCCTTGCAAACTAGAGTCCAAAATATCTCAAACAAAAATTAGTCTGAAATGCCTGGGTGGCTCAGTCAGTTGAGCGCCCAACTCTTGATTTTGGCCCAGGTCATGATCCCAGGGTTATTCTTACCTCTAAAGTTTTCAACAAAGTTTGTGTTACATAGGTCTTTCCACTGGCAGTATGTCCATAAATAAAAATTGATGGGAAGCTGAAATGATGTCTCTAGGAGAAAAAAAGACAAGTATTAGTCTGCACATTAAAAAAAAAAAAACAGAAAATAAACAATTATCTACTCATGAGAAAGTTTTTCATGGTCAAGTAAAATATTCAGTCCAAATTACTTCAACAGTTACCATACACTGGATCCATGTTCACACTCTGAACTTAACTTGAATTCAATCCTAAGCACTTTCTCTATATAGAAATTGAAATGTCTAGGGCACCTCAGTCATTTAAGTGTCGACTCTTGATTTCAGCTCAGGTCATGATCTCATAGTTGTGAGATCAAGCCCTGCATCAAGCTCCATGCTGGGCATGGAGCCTGCTTGGGAATCTCTCTCCCTCTCTGCCCCTCCCCTGCTCATACTCTCTCTCTCTCTCAGAAAAAAAGAAATTAAAATTTCTGAAAAACTATATTTGGCATATTTAGTATGTGTTACATATCTACATGCTATATATACAGTATATATTTATATTTTTTATTATTGTGCAGGTTCATTATATAAGAACTCTTATATTTTCAAATTTATAGGAGATTTCAGAGATTTTTCAAGGATAACTTTGACCATCCTTCATTTTTATCTTACCTCTTTAAAGAATCCATTCCCACAGTCTGCAAATTCACTGTACATTGCAGAGCTTTGAACCTAAGCATATATAATCACAAAGGTGGAAGGAATTTCAAGAGTCCCCTGTTCTTAAGAAAATTTACAGGGTACTTTTAAATTATGCATACTACATTTATCCTGGCCTAAATGTACACATTTCATCAAATAAAACAACGATAAAATCTAGGAAAAAAACCATATTAATATTGTTAAATGTAATTTGCAGTAAAAAGCAAAGGTCAAAACCTTTTCTGTGATCAACACCAAACCCATACCAGTCATCTCTATTGGCCAATTTTTTTTTTTTTTTGGAGGACTGTTTCTAGTTGGAGTGATCTGGGTTTATCATTTCCAAGGAAGGAATGCATAAAGCATAACCAATAAAGTATTTCAGTGATGATAGGGATAACTCGAACTGAAAGCTTTATAACCAGAATACTGAGGATGCAGTCATTGATCTCTTACTTCCCTAACTACTGTGCACCTTTAGAAGGGTGGTACTTTTCCATACTTCACAGACTCAGACTGCCATCCGGCATTCTTTGTTGGATACAAGTACTTAAGAAAGCAAACCAAGGGGCACCTGGGTGGCTCAGTCAGCTAAGCTAAGCACTGACTTCAGCTCAGGTCATGATCTCACAGTTCGTGGGTTCGAGCCCAGCGTCGGGCTCTGGGCTGACAGCCAGCTCAGAGCCTGGAGCCTGTTCCGGATTCTGTGCTCTCTCTCTGACCCTCCCCTGTTCATGCTGTCTCTCCCTCTCTCAGAAATAAATAAAAAAACATTTTAAAAAATGTTTTAAAAAGCAAACCAGAAGATGGTTGAGGGGGAGGGTAACGAATGAGTCTAAGCCTAAACTCTCATTTATGCTCCTCACAGATTAGACCCAAGTCTGATTAACTTAACTCCATGTCTAATTAATAATGCTGAAGCAAAAGGCTCACCACAGGCCACCAGAAAATAAAAGGAGATTAAGTTCTGAACTGGTGACTACTTACCTCCTAACTAACTGTTCATTCAAAGTCAACACTTGCCTCCCTCTTCTCTCTGGCATCACCTGAACTGCTGGTCAACAATTCTAGAGTGAGATCTCAAGGCTTTGGCAATTCTGGAAAAGCTGCTCAAGTCTTAAAGCTGAGGGCTGCCTTGGCCCTCACGGGTCTTGCAAACCACCACGTATATCCACGCTTCATTTACACCTATTACCTCAATGAAACGTGCCAACTTACATTTGAAAAAATAACACTGCAAACACTCCTGTCGTATAAAGTCTTGCTCAGCTGAGGTAAGATACTAAGCAACTTCCAGCGGCTACTTTGGGCTAAGCATCTCAAAAGCGTGCCGTGTGTAAACGAACACGTCCTGGGCCAACGTCCTGCGGTGCTTGCTGCCTGTGCCGTTATCTTTTAAAGGGGCTAATAAGTTACTTTGGGTATAGGAGTTGAATAGACCTACACTAACCCCTGTTCTCAATGCAAAAACTTGGAGTACTACCCCCCAATCCAAACACGAACCCCCCCCAAAAATTAGAACATGTCGCAAGACCACGGAAATGTTTGCCTCCTGGATTTGGAAGAGAAAAGGCAGTTTGACCACAATACCTCTCCAAACAGGGACTGCAAGGTGGACACTTGGGACTCGCGACAAAGCACCATGTTTTCCAAGTGAGGCATTCCGGCGAGTACCACAGGGCAGCGCCAGCCAGCTCCAGCTCCACCACCCGACCAACACTCTCACCTCCGCCCGCGGTCCAGGCTCCCGCCGGAAACCAGACTTGCGAGGTTGTGGGCGGGGCCGGCGTGCCCGTGCGTCGACCTGACGGCAGCGCGCATGCGAAGCGTCGCTCCGGCCCCATCTTCCAAGATCCGAGGGGTGGAGCTGTCTTTTCCCCTGTCGTGGGGAGGATTGGCTTGCTTACCGTTGGTGTTTGCACGCCTCCAGTGCAGGTTTTTGCCAACCACAGGCCAGGAGAGCTCTCGGGGAAGGACGAACAGAAAACCGGCTGGAAGGAACTACGGGCACTGCGGATTCCTAATGACCCGCGAGCCCGGAGCTTTGATTTCTTTTTTTTTTTTTTTTTTTGGGTCTGCAAAACCCCTGAGTCCCAGGAGCTCTCGTTCCGTAGGCGCAGTCCCGGAAAAGAAGGCAGGCATGGACCTGAGGCCCCTCTCCTAACGGGAATGAGGAAGGCGGACTGAGATAATCAGTAGTAGACTTTTTTCCCCCATCACGGTGTCAAAATTCGGGGTCTCCAGTGCAAGAAAGAGTGAAATGGGGTTGAACATACAACTCGGAATTACTAGTCTTCATGCAAGCCTGAAACGATATCTGGACATGCCTTTCCCTCCTGAAAGGGGGAAGATCTAAGGTGTGTTGGTGAGGATGCCAGGAATAACAGTAATGCTACCTTCAGTGTAAAGCTTTAGCTTGTATTTTTTTCGAGGAGCGCCTAGTAGAAACCAGATACTGGAAGATTCTGGAAATAAAAAGATACAGAAGTAAACAGAAATATGGGGGAAGAAAACTTGGAGTCCTAAACCCCCTAGGTCGGGGCAACTGACTCAACTACTTAAGAACAGAGAGACACCTTGGAAAAGTTTAACCATTCATTTTGAACTTCAACTTTCTTTTCATAAAATAGGGATAATAATAGGGTATTGCTAGGAGTAAAAGATTATCTACTTAAGGGGTACCTGGGTGGTGCAGTTGGTTAAGCCTCGGACTCTTGGTTCAGGCTTAGGTCATCATGGGGGGCGCTGGCATAGATTCTCCCACTTAAGATTTTCTGCCCGCCCTCCTCCTCCCGTCCCTCCCCTGCTCCCGCGCTATCTCAAAAATAAACGTGTTTTTTTTTTTTAAAGGATATATACTTGGTGCCTGGTGTATAGGATTAATTGCAGACATCATGGTCAGAATCTTGTGATGGCCAAAAGAATCTTTAGTTACTTACTCTTTAGTTTTTAAATGATTTGTTTATCAAACATAAATGTTTTAGTCCTCAAGTATTGGATGACAAAATGTGCTTTCAAGTTATTGTTTTTCAATCCTATTCTGAAGTCTAATATGCATTGCGATGTACTGGCATCCCAGGACTAGTAAAATATAAATTCATTGTATAAAAAGTAATCAGGCAGGAAAAATCTAATGGTTGCTGAACTTAGCCATGGCATCAGATAAACTAGAAGAAAGCCCTAATGTAGATGGAAAACTTCATTTTTGTTTTTTGTTAGAGCAATAATCTAACTTTATGAAAATTGTCATCCTCCTCTGATTCTTGTCATTTTCCCTTTCACCAGATCTTCACCCTGTAGAAGACCGTGTAGAACCTGTACCTCTCCTTACCTCGCTGCTTTGCTCACTTCATCTGCTTCTCTTCTTTAATAGTTTATTTTTGAGAGAGAGAGGGAGGGAGAGAATGAGTGGGGGAGGGGCAGAGAGAGAGGGAGACAGAATCCCAAGCAGGCTCCAGGCTTTGAGCTCTCAGCACAAAGCCAGACACCGGGCTCGAACTCACAAGCCATGAAGTCATGACCTGAGCTGAAGTCAGATGCTTAGCCAACTGAGCCACCCACATGCCTCTATCTGCTTTTCTTAAATCTTGCCCTCCTTTGGCCATACATACTGTGCTTTCTCTGGAACATACTGGGCATGCTTCAACTTCTTGTGCCTGAACTTGCTGTTCCTTCTAGACAATTTGCTCAACCTTTATTCCTGTGGCTCACTTCCCAACTCAAGTTTCTGCTCATATCACCTTACCTAAGGGGCCTTCTTTGACCCCTGAAGTCTCTGCTTTTCTCACATCCCCTTTTTTTCTTTATTTTTATTCACAGTACTTATTAAATATATTTTTTACTTGTTTATTGTCCATCTCTCGCACTAAAATGTAAGGTCACTGAGGAACTTAACATAAAAAAGTTCCTTGTGCAGAGTGGAAACTCAATAAATAATTATTAAATTAATTAATGACTTATTCCAAATGACTAGCATGAGTTCTAGCACAGAGCAGATGTTTAGCCACATTTGCTTAATGAAATTAACTATTAAAGAAAACTTCTTGCTAAAGTAAAACACACCAAAAAAGCCCCAAATGTCTTAGTTTTAGTTTCAAAAATGCTTTCTGTGCCTCAAAATACAGCATCCCATCTTTACTCAGCAGTGTGACTATCATAGTTTTCACTACTTTGAAGACTTAAAAGAAAGTGTAAATAGTTGTCCAAAAAATAAACAAGCATATAAATAAATAAAATTGGGTTAGAATCTAGGCAGCTTATTCTGAAATGAAGCTACCGTTAGGTCCTTTGGCCATTTACTGGTAAGGAAGTTTGAACGTGAAGGACCAGCATGGTCTTAATGGTTGAATGATATATGGGGCCTGATGGCCCAGTTGGAAGAGCATGTGACTCTTGATGTCAGGGTAAGTTTGAGCTCCATGTTGGGTATAGAGATAATTAAAAGAAAGAAATTGGGTAATATATCCCCAGTACCATATTATACTTTTGTAAAAGTCCCTCCAGGTGGATCAGGACATTGTCTAGGATATTATCTGAAAATAAATCAAATGTTGGCTTTTTCCCAAAATATATTTTAAGGACATAAAGTACTGATTAAATAATAATTACCTATATTTATATTTATATTAGGAGGAAATAGGAAGTAGATTTGAAAGCAATGTCATACTTAGGCAGATTGCTGTATTTTATGTACCTTCTGTAACATTAACTTACTATAAATCTCTCTAGTTCAATCTAAGCATGATGTCTGCCTCTTCCGCACCTTCCATTGACTACCTGTGATAGGCAGAATAATGGCCTCCTGAAGATAGCCACGACCTAACTCCAGGACCCGTGAGTATGTTAGATTACATGGCAAAGGGGAATTAAAGTTGCAGGAGGAATGAAGGTTATCAACTGACCTTGACATGGGGCAATTAGACTGTATTATGCAGGTGGGTCCAATATAATTATAAGAGTCAATATTAGTAGAAAAGGTAAGCAGAAGGAGAATGAGAGATGTGGCAATGTTTAAAAAAACTTGGACTGATGTTGTTGGCTCAGGTCATAATCTCAGGGTTCAGGAGTTCAAGCCCCACATTGGGTCCTCTGCTGTCCTCACAGAGATTCTCTGTCTGCCCTCCTCTCTGCCCTTCCCCTGTGCGGTCTCCCTCTCTCTCTCTCTCTCTCCCCCCCATATTTTAAAATATAAATATTTTTTATAAAAAAAAAAAAAATAGAAACAGCAAAGGGAAAGAAAATGAATTCTTCCTGAAAACCTCCAGAAAGTAAGGCAGCCTTGCTGAAACCTTGATGTTAGCTCAGTGAGACCCATTTCAGACTCTCACTTCCAGAACTATCAGAAAAGTAATTTGTGTGGTAATTTGTTACAGCAGCAGTAGAAAACTAATGCACCACCTGTTACATTACATTAGAGTTCGTTCTGATCTTTCTGCTGCATTAAAATTTATATACACTCTACTCATTAGTACTCATACTGGTTAGTCTTCAGAGTAATCATGTTTGGAAATAATTCAGGGATATTAAAATGGTTAGAAAGGAACCTCATAGATTTTAAGAGTGAGGATCATAACACGAGATACCCTGAAGTATTATAACTTTTTTATTGCATCAAAATTATGAAACAATTCTGTTCAAATTACATCAAACAGGGGCACCTGGGTGGCTCAGTCGGTTAAGCGTCCAACTTCAGCTCAGGTCATGATCTCACAGTTCGTGGGTTTGAGCCCCGCATTGGGTTCTGTGCTGACAGCTCAGAGCCTGGAGCCTGTTTCAGATTCTGTGTCTCCCTCTCTCTCTGCCCCTCCCCCACTCGTGCTCTCTCTCTGTCTCAAAAATAAATAAAAAACAAAAAAAGTTAAAAAAAATTACATCAAACATAATATGCAATAAATGGTAGAAATTCAAGGAAAAGTTGACAAGTCTATGACTATCGCAGGAGATTTCAACAGAATCTCTCTAAACTACTGTTAGATTAAGCAGACAAAAATAATAGGGACACAGGAGGTTTGAAAAAGATAATTAACAAACTTGATTTACCAGCATATATAAAACCATGCAACCAAATAAAGAATTCACCTTTCTAAGCACACACAGCACATTTACTTAAGTTGACCACCGTGTTCCAGGGCATGGCAAATCTAAACAAATTTTAAAGTGTTAGAATTATAAAGATCTCATTGCAATGTGATAAAAATAGACATTAATAACTAAAAAATAAAAAATGTCCATAAGTTTGGGAATGTAAAAACATACTTTTCACTCAAAGAAATACCAGACTTAGGGGCACCTGGGTGGCTTAGTTAGTTGAGTTACCGACTTCAGCTCAGGTCATGATCTCGCTGCTCGTGGGTTCAAGCCCTGTGTCGGGCTCTGTGCTGACAGCTCAGAGCCTGGAGCCTGCCTCAGATTTTGTTTCTCCCCCTCTCTCTGACCCTTCCCTGCTCACGCTGTCTCTCTCTCTCAGAAATAAATTAAAAGCATTAAAAAAAAGTTTTTTAAAAGAAAAGAAATACCAGACTTAAAAATGTTTGCCTATTGCAAAAAAATAATTCATAGCAAAACTTGAGGAATGCGATGAAAGCAATATTGAGAGGGAAATGGAAACTTAAAAACTGGACATTAATGCTAGCAGTCAATTTTAAGTGGTAAGACTTAAGAATAAACTCAAAAGGGGCTCCTGGTGGCTCGGCTGGGTAAGCGTCCAACTCTTGATTTGAGCTCAGGTCATGATTTCATG